AGTGTCACTGGCCCTCATATGTGGGATCCGAACCGGGGCCCTCTGGCATCCCAAGCGAGTTCTTAACCATCGCGCCACTCGGCCGGCCCTAGAATTTTATTTTTCATTTTAACTCTTCTGATGTTTTGGAATAAAAAATATTACGTTCATATGTTTTGAATAATTTCTATAAAAGAAGATTGATAAAAATTGCAGATTATCTCTTTGGTTCAGTTTTCTTTTAAAGTTCTTCATTCTACCCTCAAGTTCCTTAAAAATGAGTTCTTAAATGATAAACATTGGTATTGCCTCTGAGAAGAATTGTGAGGGCGAAGAAGAGGGAAAGAAGGCAGACTTGCTTTTTACTTAAAGAATCATTCTCTACTCCCGGGCCTGTTACACTTTAATGACAATTAGAGAGTTATGAATTCAAAGTGAGTAAATTCCATCTTTTCCTTATACTCTGTTGAAAGGCAATTGAAAATGCTACATATTAAATGTAAAAGTAAGGTGTGTGTAGTGTACTGTTATTTGGGTTAAAAAACAGGCGCACTTCCTGTGTACATGCTCATTTGATCATTTGACACCACCGCACAGTTCTTGGATGTTTCATTCAGTTTCTATTTTTCCACTCTGCTGCTTCTTGATGGGTTCTTTTCATGGGCCTGTCTTCCAGATCACCAACTCTCCTTAGCTGTGTTGAGTGCACTGGTGAGTCCATTGCAGGCTTTCTTCATCTCTGTTACCATGATGTTTATTCCGAGCATTTCTTTTTAACACTTATGGTTTTAATTTTTCTGCCGAAATTCTGCATCTGTTCATGTATTTTATTTATGTTTTGTACCAGAACCTCAGTTAGTTATTTTAAATTCATTATCTGATAGTTCCAATATCCAGGTCATCCCTGAGTCTGGCTCCGTTGAGTGCGTTGTCTCTTGATAATCAGTTGTTTTTTTTCCTTGCCTTTTAATGTAATTTTGAGTAAATACTGGACATTGTGTGCAGGACAGTAGATATTGAGAAAATAGTATTAATGCCTGGACATAAGAACACCTCTTCTGTTAGGTTGTTAGTGTGGGGAGTTGAATTAGTCTAGTCAGGAGTTGAGCTTGGTTGAGGTTTTGTTGCTCTGGTCATCTTTAGATGACCTCTGGCTTCTAGCTTCTCTGGTATTACTTTTGCTTAGCATTGGGGCTGGGTTGCTGCATTAACATCCCTCCCCTCCCCTCCGCTCCGCTTTTGGTATGCTCTGCGCCTGTGTCTCAGAGGGTGTCTGTGCTCTGGCCCTGCCGTTGCAGCGCATTGCTGTGCATTAGAGCCTGGTAAGGAGTGGTAGGTGGGGTTTGCCTGCCTAGGCTCGCCTCGGCCTTAAGCAGGCCCTTTGCTCCTGGGCCTTGGAGGTGGAGCTTGCTGCCTGATTCTGCGCTCCCCCGGCATGCTCTAGGTCTTAGATTGTTTCTTGCCTTTCCGCCAGGGTTAGCGCTGGTTTCTTTTCCCTTTCCGCATCTGTAGAGGGTATTTCTCTGTGCCTGAGGGATGATGGGATTTGCTGCCCTTCTCTCTGTGTCTTAAGACTTTGGTTCCATCAGGAGAAGAGTCTGGATGGGGCTTTGTGCCCCGCTTTCTTGGCTGCCTCTGCTCTAGGCCTGCACAATCTTGTTCTCTTAGGAGCAGCTGGTGGAGGTCTGAGAAGAAAACCACACGAGTGGGTGCAGACTCCCCCTGTGTCTGTGGCTTCCAGGCATTCTACACTCACCCCCTGGCCGTTAGCTGTTTGTGGGAAATGTATGCTGAATTCTTACCTACTTGTCTGGTGCTTGCCATTACTTTTTCCAGGATCTGATCCGCCACAGGTGAGCCAGTGCTCGCATTCTCTCTCCCTGGCGGTTCCCACTCTTTTACAGAGTTTAAGCTACTTGGTTACTCTGCAGCCTCAGCTCTCTGATGGATTCAAGAAGTTATGATTTTGTATATTATTTATCTTCTTCTTTGTAGGGTGCAAGCACTACTCTGTCCGGCTTTCTTTATCTTAGCCTCGCCTCCATGTGCTTTCCAGGATAGTTTTCAAATTGGAGCCTAATCATCGTCTCTTTCCCCTTTGCCCCTTGGGTATTGTGTAAACAGTACTGATAGAATTATATGTTTGACAACACCAAGGTTGCCGGTTTGATCCCCACGTGGGCCAAAAAAAAAAGAATTATATGTTTGAATTTTGTCATCTCTTCATATAGAACTAGATTTTTCTATTAATAAAATATAGTTTTGTAAAGATAGCTTATGGACGATTCTGTTACCAAGAAGCAGCATAGATTCTGATTTATAAATTTACTTACTCTGTTGCCGCTAATGAATATGAATAATAATAATATGATACACAGCAGTAGCTCAAACTTATTGGGTGTTTATTATGTGGCAGGCATTACGCTAAGTCCATGTAGCGTTGTCTGATGGGTCACGTCCCCCTCTCCAAGGAAACAGCCTGTTGGTAACTGGGGTCGTTGCACAGAGCGTGTGACTATCTCAGCACAGCTTCCTCTGTCCTCCAGAACTCTTGGTGGCAACTCGCAGTTCCTCGTGACACTTTAGACTCAAGATAGATTCTCACCGGATGTGAGAAACTTAATTCTTACTGGGCCACAGTCCTTTCCTACTTGGGTGATGTCACTGTTCAGGAAGAATTGACATGAACAAATGATGCCCTTAGTACGACGTATTTACTTACTTCTCACCTCTCCTGGCTCTGAGTCAGACCCATTGATGGGGAGAAAGTGGGTTGAGGCCTTTCTCTGAACACTCTTTTTTGTGTGCAGCTTCCTAGCAGTCTTAATAAACCCGTTTTTCCACACCTAGATCTTCTCACAATGGCCTCCTGATACAGATAATGTATTGGGTTGTTGGAAAAGTCATGATGCATTTTTGCAATGAAAAACAGAAAAAATATGTCATGACTTTTCTGACAACCCAACAATTCCTATTTTCCAGGGAAGAAATTGAGTGTTAGAAGCATCAAGTAATTTGCCCATTGTCACACAGCTCGTAAGTGAGCTGGAGCAGGGTTCAAATCAGGCTGCATTATGACGTTATTTACCATGCTGGAAGGTGTAGCCCCACTTGAACCCAGGTACAGAACCCGTGTATTAAACGGTTGTAGTTCTGATTAGTGGTGGTGTAGTTTGCATCTAGCCTATTTTAACTTTAAAGAGAAAATACTGTCTTCAGATGAAATTTCTGTATCTAGAAAAAAGCCTAGGAGGCAGTTTCCTAAGGCCTTGGATCAAGTCTTACTATATTTCCCCATGTATAAGATGCTCCCATGTATAAGACGCACCTTAATTTTGGGGCCCTAAATTAAAAAAAAATGTATTACATACAGTTATTGAACTCAAGTTTTATTCATCATAAAATTCATACAACTCCTCATCACTGTCAAATCTCCCAACCATTACCTTGTCCTCATCTGTGTCTGATGACGAATCACTATTTTCACATATTGCCTCTCATGGCCTTCTTCTGCCGTGGCGTTTTCAGTAGGGTTTCTTCTTCCCGTAGCCAGTCTCAGATTGTTTTCTCCATTGGAGGAGGACCAAACTTACGTTCAGCAGCACGATTTCCATTCATTTTTGCACACTGGATCACTTTTTAACTTGAATTCAGCACTGTACGAAAATCTTTTCTGAGCCATTTCTGGGCAGAACGTGGCAAAACATAACCTACCGTAATATACCGGGAACAAGTGCGAAACAATGAGCGCAAAGACAACAAGTGCAACAAAGCGGGAAATGCAAGTAAAAAAATCTACAACCACTGTATAAGACACACCCAGTTTTTAGACCCCAAATTTTTCGAAAAAGGGTGCGCCTTATACATGGGGAAATACGGTATATTGCGGACCTTAAATGTCATGCGCTAAGGGCTGGAAACTGGAATTGAAACAAAACAATTAGGCCCTTCTCCCTTGCCCAGCATCCACACTCCCTTTCCTTTAGGTCTAAAAATAGCTTATCTGTGTGACCACAGGTAAGTTAACACCTGGGCTAGCTTTAGTAGTAGTGGAGAATTAGAAAGTATTGTAGGGCCGATGGCATTGAAGTGAGGCCTTGTAGGCGGGGCTCTTCTGAAACTGAAGGGAAACTGAAATCCTTTTTGTTCAGCTATAATTTCAACATTTGTTGGCAAGAAGGTGTGGGTGGAGTGTGCCAGCAGTGGACATGGTAGGAGGGGGTGATGTTTATTGGTACTAAATTCTTGGGCATGATTTGTTTTCTGTTGGTTGGTACTAATGTCGTCAGTCCTTTGTGTTAGATAATGGGGAGGGCAAGCTTCTTTAACAGCGTGCAGGTTTTGCCTTTGGTGCGATTTCACGAGAGGTTCAAGGAAGAAAATGTGTGTGGATTGGCACAGGGTCACCATCAGTGTTACAAAGGTCACTCAAAAACCATACTAATAGTGGGGTGTCAGTGCCATGCTTACATTTTGAGGCCAGCATTTGCTACAGAGCCTAGTTATAAGTGTTAGTACTACAAGGCATTTGTCAACCTCAAATGGTTTAATAGAAAACATTCCTTTCTCTTTCAAAACAACTGTGATGTAATACCAACCTTGAGTTAAGTTCAGAGAATTTTCCAGTTATTTAAATGTCTTTGTGGCTGTTTTTTTTCAAGCTTCCAATTGAAGACTTGTGCAGTTTGACGTCCCTGTCGCTGCCCATCACACAGATGTCAGTAGTACCAGAATCTACCGAAGACATTCTCTTGAAGGGTTTTACTTCCTTAGAAATGGGAGAGGAAAGAATCGAAACGGCACAGCAGGTAAGTGGCAGCATCCTTTTTAAGGATGCTTGATTATTTAAATGTCTCAAGACAGGGCTAATGAAAAAGGTCCTCATTAAAAGTTCTAAACATTTGAAACTGCAGTTAACATCAGATCTTTCTAGAATGTTCTTGATTTTCTGTTAGTTGTGGCTATTATTTTAAACCTATTGCCCAGTTATATTTGCAGTACAGTTAAAAAGTGATACTCCAAGTTTGGATGTTGATAGATTATTATATTTACTAAGGTTTTCGTATTGTGTGTACTTTAGACTTCCCCCAGTGTATGTCTGTGCTAACACTTCCCCCAGCATGCATGAGTGTGGGCATGCGCATGCGCGTGTACACACACACACACACACACACACACACACACACACACACACACACACCTCTTTGCCTGTAGCTAGGTCATTTCTTTTTAAAAACCTAAATATCCTCTTTAGACGAGCCCTGATAATTATTTTTAGTAATGTAGCATGTGTAATCTTCTCTTGGTTTTTGCTTATTCCTGATCCTAAACCTAAATGTACAGTAGTGTCTTCTGCTGCTTCCTCTGCTCCTCTTTCTGTTCTGTGAAGAATCAAAGCTGAGACATTCACTGAGTAAAATGTTAGGCAGATATGTGGACTTGAACATACAGGAAGTGGAGAGAGGCAGTGCTGAAAGTGATTAAGAGAGTAGCTCACTTCCCATCTTTGTGAGCTTAGGCAAGTTACTTACCTTCTTAGGTCTTTGGTTTCCTTATGAGGAAAGCAGTGGTAATTATATACCTGAGCCTTGGGTTCTTGTGAGAGTTCATAAAGTAAGGCATGTCCGTACAGCGTGTGGCAGGCACACAGCCAGGGTTCAGAAAGCGAGAGTCAGAGAACTTTCCAAGCTTAGGGTCCTGAGACAAGAAACCATGGCCTTGACTTTGAATTCCTCTTGAATCCCCATTATAGAAGATAATTTTGCACCATGTCTGTGACCTTATTTGGACTACAGTATTTGAAAAAAAATGTACCTGCATATCTCTCTTTAAATTTAGAAAAATCTGATATATTGAGTTATAATTTATATACAATAAAATGTAATCTTTGTAAGTGTACAGCTTGATGAGTTTTGACAAGCGTATATACCTTTGGAAGTACCACTATGATTAAGATATAAAACATTTCCATCATCTCAAAAAGTCCCCCCCATCTCTTTTTATTATAATGATAGCTATTTCCATAACATTGGTGGGAGGGCCAGAATCCAAACCCAGGTTTAGCTGATGCAGAAGTCTATGTTCTCAAACCAGCCTGTTATATTAGTTATGAGTTTATATTCTCACAGGTCTTATTAGGTAATAATATTATTATTTACCCAACACCTGATGTTTCCTACTCAAATTTGACAAATTAGCAAATGGGTTTCAGCCTCTTAGGGAAGAAATATTTACTTCTTACATATTACATCTTTAATGTTCTTCCTTGATTAACTCTGGAAATGGCCAATGTTTTTAATATCCTTTGCTGTTCCTAGTATGTAGATACTGACTGTGCAATTAAATTATCGTCTCCTGGCTTAAACCTAATTATGAATGTCTGAACCCCAAACAGTAAGAGACTTAGTGTTACCCTTTTGACTTGCTGTTTAGCATATCACCACTTTTCATTTTGTCAGTTTTAGTTTTGTTGACAGTTAATACTCTTTATTTTTCCAGTTTTTTTCATGGTTTGCAAAACTACAAACTCAGATGGATCAGGATGAAGAAACTAAATATAGGTATGTGGCTCTTGCCTTGTTGTTTATCCTAAGTTTTAGATCACAGTCATCTGAAGCATTTTTTTAATCTGTCTTTACACAAAATTAAGGTACAAAGAAAACTCCAACAGCAACATTTTCTTGAAAAATTGCCAGAGAGGATTTGGGTCAACTGGTATTGGAAGTTGCATAATTTTTTTTAAAAATTACATTGTAATCAATAGGTCAGGAGGGGCAGACATTGGTTTTTAGGTAAATCTAGAAAGGTTTGGGTTTAAGTGGAAATTGTACAGGAACTCTGAGAGGTGTTTATAGCCTTTCTTTAGAAGCAGAGACCCACGAGACTTTGGGGATGGCCAGCTAGACTCGACAATGTGACTATGTGATTCTGTTTGTGTATATTGAGAGTGTGGGAGAAATGATGGTATGGTTTCTAGCTGATTTGGGGACTGTGGGTTGAGCATTTGCATTCATGGAACATTTATTAAGTGACTATAATTGCTAAGCATCGTGTTAGGCTCTTTGATGTGTGATTCCATTCAATGTTCATAGCAGCTCTGTGAGGAAAGGTAATATTTCCATTTTACAAATGAGCAAACTGAGGCCTGGAAATGTTAAATAATTTGCTTAATGTCATGGAGACTTGGGCAGAGCTGGGATTTGGACTTAGGTCTTCTAATTCCAAGTCCAAAATTCTTCCTGTGACATCACACTGTCTCTCAACGGTAGAAGTGACATGAAGGATTGTCCTACTTAATACCTCAGGATGGGGTTGGCCCTGGCGTCCCAGCCTTGAAAGTTGAGCTGGCGACCTGTGCCTTACATGTGAAAAGCCAGTTTATGGCTTCAAGTCTGATTCCTTTGGTTGCTCGTTTTCCTTTCGGTAATTTTCCATAAGTATTGAAACTAACATAGCTGTTGGTACATTTCTGAATGTAATGAACTGTAGTGACTAGGTCTGATTTTCCTCCTGACATTCAAGCATATGGGGAAAAATGAGACTGTTGTTTATTGATTATGCTTATCGGGGGAAAATATTATTGCCAATCCCCTTTTGGTTCTGTTTTCTAGACAGATGAGGGATTACTTGTCTGGGTTTCAGGAGCAGTGTGATGCTATATTGAATGATGTAAACAGTGCTCTGCAGCATCTGGAATCATTGCAGAAACAGTATCTTTTTGTGTCCAATAAGACAGGAACCCTACACGAAGCCTGTGAACAGCTCCTGAAGGAACAGGTAAATTGGAGTAGGAGAGAGGGCCAGTGATTGTATTATATTTAACATTTCAGTTTTCAATAGATGAATACAATTGAATTCTCATTTTCTTAATTTCTCCAACTGTATATTGAACCCTGCTCCATATGAGGCCCTGTGCTAAGCATGCCAAATATTATATTGATATTTTATTCTAAATAAGCTTATGTGAACAGGGCAAGGGCACACTTTCCTGCGTTTTGAGCTGTTAGGTCTCAGTACAGTTGCAGAGTGAAGAGGATGTGTAAGTTTGTTCTGTCCGCTCATTAATATTGACCCTTTTTGGACAAGCACAGTGATTGTAATAACCATGGGGTTTAAGAAAAAAGATGACCTGATCTAGGCTGCACTTAAATTGTGTCTTAAAGATAGAATATTTAATTTACTGTAATTACCTCATGTGTATTCTGTTTGTAAAAGGAAATCATTTATAAGGTTATATATAATTTACTGTAATAATCATTGCGTATTTTAGTCCATGACTGCAAAAATCTTTGAGCATTCTTCTGAAATCTTATGTCTATTATAAATTTACATGTCTAATATAAATCAATGTAATTTTGAGTTTGGAGTGTTGATTATTATGCTTTTATAATAATTGATTTTTCTCTTTTAAAAACACAAGTCGGAACTTGTTGACCTGGCAGAAAACATTCAACAAAAGCTTTCCTATTTTAATGAATTGGAAACTATTAACACAGTAAGCATGTTTTTTATTTTTTGTAAAGTTAGTGACTTTGTTTTATATTTCCCTTTCTGAGTATAATGTTGAAACCTATAAATTGGCTTCAGTGATATTTTTTAACTTAATAGTTTGCTTGCTGAAAGTGTTCCTATTTGTGATCGATGGACATACATACCATTACCAGTTGAGATTTTCTCAACTATGATTAAAGTAATAGTTCTGCTTAAATTGTGTCATTGTTATTAAAAATCTCTTTGTTGGTTACCTCTTATAGTATTGTATTTGTAAGCTCTGAAGAAGTTTGTAAGAAGAAATATGAATTTTTAAATCTTGCTATTATAATAATTAAAACATTTTTTAAGCTAATCTCATTTAGTATGGAAAAGGATAGGCCTTGTAATACATACTTGTATTCCAAAGTAATAGTCTCAGTAAGGCTGCTGTGTAAATGACATTTCTGGTTAATGATTAGTCATAATAACTATGTAAATCGTGTTATTAAAATTGTTGAATTAATCATAATTATTACAGTTTACTAAAGACTTAGAAGTAAAGCTAGTACTTCCATGGGAAATAGTTCATTGCCAAGCTATTTGTATATCAAGATAAGAAATAATTGGCTGGTTTTGCTTATATTTTATATATATATTACTTATATTTATATTATATTAAATATTGTATATTATATTGTCTTACGTTTAATATATGATTTTGTATATTATATCGTGTTAAATATCACACATGTTGCTTATATTTATACTTAATTATTAGTATTACCTGTACTTACTTGTATATATTTTACTTTCATAATATGACTGCTAAACATGTAGTATGACTGACTGCTAGTTAATCCTTTAACCTTGAGAAAATTGCCAGTATTTGAAAGTAGAAAATGTATGTATGTTGTAAAGTGCTAGTAAGTGGGAAGCCTAGGCACTTGATGTGTTATTTTAATGTAACATTGTACAACGGAATGATAGACAGTGTTTGCTAATTCATGAAGAGCCCCATTAAAGCTCATTAAGAATAAACCAATTTAAACCAGTATTCTTTTTCAGTTGTCCTTTCTTTATTGTTACACATGGGCCACATTTGAGGATATTTTGGTGACTCAAAATGAAAAGACATTAGTATAACTTGTTACATCCTAAAGAGAAATACTCTAATTCTAATATGAAGTATCAACTTTTACCTATACGTTTTTTTGTGTGTGTGAATTAAGGCTGATTTTTCTTTTTCTCTTACAGAAATTGAATTCTCCTACGTTGTCTGTGAATAGTGAAGGATTTATACCTATGCTGGCCAAGTTAGATGATTGTATAACATATATCTCATCTCATGTAAGTCATGGTATTTCTGTATATTTCTAAGAAATCTGAACATCCCTATGATATTTCTTCTTTTGCTGTACAGTAATTATTTCTACTGAAGGAAAAAATATCTCTCTAATATACTTGAAGAAAACTGTGGTGAACTCTTAGTCATTGTCAGTAGTGGCGTAGAAAGTACTTTCTAGCTGCCGAGGCAGCCCTAGAGGGGAAGAGGTCCTGGCTGACACACGGCTTTATCCCCTCTCAAAGGCTGTCGTGCTGGATACTGTCCCCCAAGGAGTTATTGCTGTATTCATTCCCCGCTACTCCTATTCTTGTCCTAGTTGGGCCTGACATGTTAGCCTTGATGTCTGTGGACTATTGAAAATATATTTTGTTAAAAACTGCAGATGTCGACTGAGCCCCCACTGTGTGCCAGGCACGGGATTGTGACCATGGTCGTCACAATATTCATCCTGATGGAACTTTGAATCTGCATAAGGCCTCCTTCTGAATTCTCTGTGTAGCTTCACATGACGGACGTGCTAGTTGTCATTGAACGTTTCTTTGTCAGTGTTTGTTTCCTCTTTGTAAATCTTTCCCTTTTCTTTCCAGCCAAATTTTAAAGATTATCCTGTCTACTTACTGAAGTTCAAGCAGTGTCTTTCTAAAGCTTTGCACCTCATGAAGACATACACTGTGAACACACTACAGAACCTCACAAGTCAGTTACTGAAGAGGGTGAGTTCCCCGGGGAGGCGGCGGTTTTGACTCATTCAGCTTCTGTAATCTCAGTCTGAGGGTAGCACTTGGAACTCCAAAGGTTTTTTTACCTTTTGTTAAATTAGAATGTGCTGCAGTTTTGTTTATAATAGGAAAAATGGCTGTATTATGTCTGTCCATTATAGTATTATTTTCAAAGCATATATAACAGTGTGAGAAGTATTTAGTACTGTATGATAAATATTAAAGTAAGATTCAAACTATTTGTACTTCACACTTTTTCCTATCTTTTTCATGAAAATGTTGGAAGGAAAGAACAAAATAATGAAAGTGGTTCTGCCTGAGTGGTGGGATGATACGTGGTGGATAATTGGAACTTCTTTCTTTACATGTGATGGATAATTAATTTTCTGTAGTTAGCAAATGTGTCTTTATTGGGCATCCCCGAAATGCTTGGTGTTGTCTTAGGAATTAGAGAGCAGCGGAAAGCGGCGAAGCTTATATGTTCCGGAGAAGTAATCAGTAAAGAAGGAAACAGATGAATCAGTTGCAGATTGTAGCAGATGCCAGGTGGAAAATTAGTGACGTGTTAGGTTAGAAAATAAAGTTAACTGGTGAGGTGTGTGGGACGACCACTGAGCACATTTCTTTCCTAAGAAAATAAAACCGTAAATATTATGCATTTTACTTCTGAAGTTTACTTTCTACGGAACATGGAATATATTAAGCTTTCAGTTCTAAGCCACTGATTTTTGGGTTGCATTTTACCATTTACATTGCTTTTAGCTGACATAACAGCCAGACTGTATACTTCTTCTATTTTGTAAAATTTTAGTAAGTTTAGGAAACTAATGCTTACTAGGTACTACTACGTAGTATGTAACGTGCTTTACTGCTGAGCTGCATGAAGTCTCTCTCAGCATATACGATCACCATTTGGTGGATGCTCTGAATCTCAGAGCGTTTAAGTGGCCAGTGCCCTCCTCTCAGTGAATGACTGAATGTGAATCTGAATTCAGGTCTATTTACTGCCGAAATTCATGTCACAAGGGTAAATTTTAGTTATAAAGAGGAGGGAGATGACAGTTCCTCATAATTATTTCGCATTTGAAGCAATAATAATATTGGATCTCTTTGAGATGTTTCTTTCTAAGCTTTCGGTTGGTGTGTAGGCCCAGCAGTAGCCATTTGAAATGGTGTGCGTCACATTTCCTGAATACTTATTTGCTTGCTAATTGTCTTCCTTCCCTCTCCTCCCCGATGTTTCCTTAGGATCCTTCATCTGGACCTAATGCAGACAACGCCTTCACACTATTTTATGTGAAATTCCGAGCTGCTGCCCCCAAAGTCAGAGTAAGTGTATTGATGGAAGTAGGACATTGCTGTGGAATTTGTGTGGCAGCCCTTTTGAGGCACTGCTGTGTGTTAGGCCCTTGGCTCAGACCAGGAAGGCTTTGTCCTTCCACGTTACATTACGTTATCTCAGAGGGGCCGCACGAGCACAGAGCAGGAGACACCTCGCTCCTCCTAAGAGGCTTAGGGGAGGTTTTGAGATGAAGGTGATACCTGGGCTTAACCAGCTCGGGTGTGTGGTGGACTCGGGGGGATTGCTAAGGACACTTTCTACTGAGAGAACTGCATGTATAGGGAAGGCTGGAGAGACATCAAAGACAGGGACTTGGGGAGAGTCCTGTAACTTGTTCTGCCCGGAGCGTGGGACACGAGTAGGAAGTGATGGGGAGAAAGACAGGGGAGATGTCACAGAGCGCCTCGCCTGGGGTTTTACACGTCATGGGACTTGGGTGATTTGGTGGTATCAGAAGTGGGTTCTGTGTTTCAACGTCTTTGTATTTATAGATTTTCTAACATTAACGTGTGTTATAATTAGAAAATAATTAAAAGTGTGACTAAAACTGTTGATTTTAAATGTGTTTTTCCTTATTCTTTAGACTCTTATTGAACAAGTAGAACAGCGATCTGAAAGGATACCTGAGTGAGTACCTGGAATTTCTTTCGTTTCCGTGTTACCTTCCTCGTGAAGCACTATTTTCCCAGTCTGCTATGTTCCTGAGATTTTCTGAGCATTGCCTTGCCATACTGTTCAAGTTTTTCTTGTAGCACATAACTTCCCTTAGGGAGCAAGGTCGTGGACCTGACTTGGTGAGTGAGCAAGGCCTCTCTCTCTGTTTAGTTTTATTGAGGTATAATTGACCTGCAACTTACTAGATTCAGATACACAACATAATGATTCAGTGTTTGTGTATATTGGGAAATGATGATCACCACTGTACGTCTAGTTAAACACCCATCACCACACATAGTTACAATTTTTTTTCTTGTGTTGAGAACTTGAAAGATTTACTGTCTTAGCATCTTTCAAATGTGCAATCCGGTATCATTAATTATAATCACTGTGCTGTACATTTCTGCAAGGCATCTCTTTCCCCTTAGTAGGATTTCCTTTTTATTTGGCTCGATGTAAGATCTCTACTCTTGGAACAGAAATCTCCCTTTAAAAGATAAAGGTTATGGCACCACAGTTCATTATGTGTGTGTGTTTTTATATATGTGTATATAATTCATAAATATTTCCAGTATTTAATGTGGGCAGATGAGCGGTGACCATATAGCTGTAGAGGTTTGACACCCTATTCTGGGATTTATGATCAGATTTAATTTATATCTGAAAGCAAACATTTATACTCCAATCTGCCTTGCCTTTGATCAGATACCAACAGCTGCTGAATGACATTCACCAGTGTTACCTTGACCAGAGGGAGCTCCTTTTGGGCCCTAGTATCACTTGTACCGTAACAGAGCTAACCAGCCAGAATAACAGAGATCATTGTGCCTTGGTAAGTTTCTGCATGTTTTGGTTTAACGTTAAAGCTTCTCTGAAATACTTTGATACCCTAGAAGCTGTACTCGGCTGAGGTTTGGTTCCTGTATCAACAAACTTAAAGAGTTTTTCCTTCAGCTATGACAAGTCTAGTGTAGCAAGTAGCATTCAACCTGGCAGAGTATTCTCGTTTTCTGTTTTTTGAGGTATGAAAATTCACAAATGAGTATTAACTCCTTAAAAGATGAAGTTTAGAAGTTTGTGGATTTACAGTGACAATTTAATCATAGCTTTTGCTGCAGAAGTGCTTTTTTGTTTAGTGTGATTTTAATTCATACTATAGGAAAATAACGATTCTATTTTTAAATACCCCCATTCAACTAGAAAAGCAGTTTATTTTCACTGTCAGAGGTTTAGAAAATTAAGCATAAAAACAATAAAAGTCATCCATATTCACATTGTGCAGTAAACCCTTGAAAACTAACCATTTTCTGTGCTTTAGTAGGTTGTTTTATGAATATATAAGCCTAATCTTTTTACAAATGACATGTTTGCTTTATTTCGTAGACACTGGATTGTTATGTCTCACCTGTAGGTGGTGTGTGTTTATTTCTTGCAGATTCGCAGCGGCTGTGCCTTCATGGTCCACGTATGCCAGGATGAACACCAGCTTTACAATGAATTCTTCACAAAACCAACGTCAAAATTAGAGTAGGTGGCACACAGACTCAAACACTTGTTTTTACAATTTCATTTGCTAATGACCGTAATAGCTTATTCTGTTATATTATGGGAGGCGTCTTAAATGACCTGCAGAGTGCTTTCACTTTTGTGAGTGTGGGAACAGAATATTGTTGGTGGAGACAGTGGTTGTTTATTTTAAAGTAAATGTGCAGTGTAAGGGCCCACATGCATTCACATTGTTCATGACCTAATTATGGAGACAGTGTGGTGTGATAGTGAGAATCTTCCATAGCGAACAAAGTAAGTCTTGGAGTCTAGAGCCCTTTCTCTCCACTAAGTGTCATCAATCCTGGTAGTTTAAAAATCCTGTGATTCTAACTAATGCAAGACACTTCAAATACAGACACTGCTTAATAACCTTTTAACAAATGTTTCTTAAAGCGCCTTTCAGATCCACTATTAGTCACTTTTGGTTTCTTCATGTTGGGAATTTTGACTGTTAACAAAGATTCTAAGACCTTTGTAATGGGGAGTAGACAAATATATCTTATGGTTTTGATTGGGTTGATCTCTTTTGATGAAATACTACATATAGACGAATACTACTGACAATAGGAAGAATATAGTCAACATCATTTTTTCTTTGCAAATGTTGTTTGTCAAAATACTTGTATGTCTAGAGTACATTGAGTTTTGTTTATCTAAATCTGTAAGTATTCAAGAATTTTGACTTGTCTTTCCTGGGGAAAATATTACCATTTGATACACAGTGATGTAGAATATAAAAGGATAATTAAGTCTACTGAAACATTTTGTATTGTTTTTGAAAGGACATATACAAAATTATTGCTGAAATAAGTAAAAGTTGTAGTAAATTGACATTAGCCTGGGGGCAGCTGATTTGAATTGACTGCTGATTGCATATTGATCCTGAACTTCTAAAGCAAAAATACTGTACAGAATTACTTTCAGCCATTCACTTCCATTATATAATATTCCCCATACTATTTTCCAGTAGGTTTTTACTATTATTATTGGCTGGAAGGAATCAGTGATGCTTTTAAACTATTGGAAAATTCTGAAAAGATTACTACTAAACCATGTTTTATTCCTTTATTTTAGTGAACTTTTGGAGAAACTGTGTATGTCATTGTATGATGTCTTCAGGCCATTGATCATTCATGTTATTCACTTAGAGACTCTTTCGGAACTTTGTGGGATTCTTAAAAATGAGGTGCTTGAAGATCATGTACAGAACAATGGTAAATGATAAGTAGAAGTGATCATTTTGAAGGTCTTTTTAATTATATCTGTGGCTCAATTAATTTGAAAACGATTAGCTCTTTCTCCCCCTCCCCCACCACCTATATAAATTTAATATTGTTGAAGTCTGGGTTGATGCCTTGTCCCTCTTTGAATCAAGATGTACCTTAGTCTGTGACTAAACATACAAATTAAGTGGGGAAAGAATTTTAAAATTGGGCAAAATTAGTAATAAAATAATTATAGTTATTTTTCTTTTTGGCATCTGCAATCCAGGGAGAATGGACCATCAGTTTTGTGTTAGGCATTTCTAGTACACTGTTACTAGAATACATAAAGTAATTGACTATATTGTATACTCTTGATTAAAAAAACAGGAATTATTTTAGCATATATACGTAGTAATGATTTATCTTTTTGAAATTACAAATAAAAAGCAATTCTCTGAAACTGTTTTACTTTATCCATGTGATACATTAATATTTGATGTGATTGTCATAGAAAACATGATTTTTGTAATGATACTTAAGTACCTTTAAAAAATACCCTTCAAATAATTATTTTACTGGCAGAAGTTATTTGACTTTTGTTAGGAGATACTATGGGTCTGTTACTCTTCCAAAGTTTCTTATTCTGCAGTTAGTTCATTCTGTGATGTACATTCTCTCACATTTTAATGCTTCTGAATTAAAGATGATTTTTAAAATTTAATGTGAACATTTATATGATTGTGTAGTGTCTCCAACTCCTCAGCCCTTGGGGAAACCTATTAACGAATTACTGATGTGTCTTAACATTGATGGCATCTTAGAAGTTCTGTGTAAACTCATATCATTTGTTTATTTATTTAATTGATTTATTTTTAAAATGCTAGTTCGTGGGAGCCCTTCACACTTTTCCAAAGACACTTTCCAGGTGTCCAACGTCTTTTACTGACTGAATAAATTTGGCACTACAGTCACTGAAAACCAGCCCTTGAGGGCTTTTATTTATTTAACTTTATTTATTTATTTATTTATTTATTTTTACCAGATGAGCCATCCTGCCACCTGTTGACAGCTCAGCAGCAGCTCAGCTCGGGCACAGCGTCACTGGCCCATGTGGGAATCGAACCGGTGGCTCTGTTGCTCAGATCTTGCGCTCTTGAGCTAACTCTTAACCAACTGAGCCACTCGGCCGGCCCCTCATTTATTTTTTTTACTCATTTTTCTTTGTGAAAACATTAACAAGTCGTTTAATTCTGTGAGATTTAATTTATTTGTAAAATGGGGATGGTAACCCAATTAATAAGTTGCCCTAGCTATTGCTCAGGGTTGGTCTGAAGCTATATGTGATAACTTTTAAAAAGCACAAAGCACTTTAAATTAAGTCAGATTTTATTATTCGTATTAATAACAGAAATAATTTCCCTTCCTGGGAAGAAGGTGTAAGGGCAAATCTATTTCCTAGTTTTAAATTTGAGGAAATTGAAAGACATTTATTAAATTTTTCTGAGGTCATTGAGTCATACTGAAATACATACAACTATAGCCCCTGAAGCAAACGTGGGCCATGCTGTTACTAGACAATTTAGTAATATTTTTGCTTGTTTCAAGAAAGTATTTTTCTGACTCTAAAGGAACGAATGATTGCACTTTTTTATCAGCTGAACAGCTGGGGGCATTTGCAGCTGGTGTAAAGCAGATGCTGGAAGACGTACAAGAGCGGCTGGTCTACCGAACCCACATCTATATTCAGACGGACATCACTGGCTACAAGCCAGCTCCTGGCGACCTAGCGTACCCCGATAAGCTGGTCATGATGGAGGTGGGTTCTGCTGACTGATCTCCCCCCTGCCCACACACACACACAACTCTGTGAGGTTTTAGACTAGTTAAAATAGGATTTTTCCTGCTTATTCTCATTCAAAATGTAAAATCAAGATAAACGTGCCACAGAATATTTTAAAATATTACGAGTTAATACTGAAATCTCCAGTTCAAATCCATTTCCATAGGGTTCTTCCTCACCTTCCCCCATTCCACGTTGGTCTTTCCCTTCTCTCACCAAAGAAACCCTGGCTTCCAGCACCTGTATGTTTACCCCTTTGCTCCAAGTTACAACACATGCAAAATTAGTTTGAGAATTATACCAACACCATAGCTAACAACAAACTTACAAAATTCAAGATTTTTGTACTTTTTGTCCTTAGAATATATCCTACTAAGATATACAATCAGATTATTGTCAGCTATAGATCTGAAGATTTTAAATTAAGAGCCTATCTCTTTAGAGGTTTTGCCCGTGTAAGATTGCCGTTTGCATGGCATGGGGGGAAGTGTAACGTCAGACAGATCTAGGTTCAAATTCTAGCTCTGTCAATTAGTAGCTGTTACGTAGCTTCTGTGAACATGTGTCGTTATTTGTAAAATAGGCATAACAATACTGACCGTGAAGGGTTGTGAGATAGAGAAAATGGCTAGAAAGCATTTACCTTTGTGGTCATACAGCAGACAGTGGCTGTTTTTGTTTAACCTTTGAAATATTTAAAAACACATTTGACTGAAAATCAACAAGTGAAATATCCAACCCATCAGTTAAAATTTTGTTTTTCATTTTAATTTTTTCCAGTTTCATTGAGATACAACTGACCTATCACACTGTATCAGTTTAAAGTGTACAGTGTAATTATTTGGCGTGTATTGTGTATAATGTATATTGTGAAGTGTTTACCACAGTAAGGCTAGGATGCGACGAGGGCCGAGGGCCGGGTCTGTCTGTCACCCTGACCTGGGGGTCGCGTGCTCCTCGCTCCTCCCTCCCTCCCTTGTCTCCTTTTTTAAAGATTTTTATTGGGGGAGTTGGGGGAGGGGAACAGCGCTGGGGAGTCGGGGAAGGGGAACAGACAAGTTGCTGTCCTTTTGTTCTTCAGTCTAGTTGTGGAGGACGTCGCTTCACTGGCCCATGTTGGTATTATCATTGCGCTCTTCCCGGGTGAGGCAGTTGAAAGCTCATGCCCACTGCCGGCCAGCCCCACTGCAGCCCCACTGCAGCCCACGCCGTCGCCAGTGACCCACGGCAGCCCAGCTCCAGGTTGAGCTGTTGTTCAGCATCTTAGCTGTGGAGGGCAGTGTCACTGGCCCTCATGTGGGATCCGAACCAGGGCCCTCTGGTGTCCCAAGCCAGTTCTTAACCATCGCGCCACTCGGCCGGCCCTTGTTTTCTTTATAAAATCTGAAATTTGAATCAATGTTTCTAAACTTAGAGTTGAAAATGATGCTTCTTATATGAGTCGTGTATATTTGAGCCTTCAGTAGATAGTGGTCGTAGTTCTGAAATAGTGCTTCAGAAAAGACTGCATGTGTTTGAGAATAGAGACACTCTGTACCAGTTTAGCCTTTTCATTTCCGTGTGGTGTTTTGGCATAGTCCTCTAACTTAGTCTATTTATTAATTAGGGGTTCTTCTTTTTTTACTTTGTAGAAAGGACATGTTCAAATTACCAAACACAGCTGCAAACTACACTTTAATGTTCCTTCTGATTTCTCTATACAGCAAATTGCACAGAGTTTAAAAGATGAACAGAAGAAGGCACCTTCAGAAGCTTCGTTTTCAGATGTTCGGTTAGAAGAACCAGAGTCTAACAGTCTAACAAAATCTGGTATGATGTTTTAACTGCCAGCTTTTATTTATTTGTTTAATAAACTTTTATTGAGGATTTGTCATATTCCAGGCATGAAAAACAGCTTGTGCTTTTAAGGAGCCCACACTTTAGTGGGGGGAGATTGACATGCCACAGACGTAGTTCAATGGTGATGTGCTAAAGGTCCTCCCAGGGCAGTCTGGGACCGTGGCAGCAGGGCGTCAGAACTATGAGGGAACACAAGCTGTGAGTGCAGCCCGGTGGGTCCAGTGAGAGGTGTGGTGTCTGAAAGCTGCAGTGTTTGTTTATCAGGGCGATATGAGAGCCAGGTGAGGTAAGGTTGCTGAAGACAGCTAGAATAGTATGGAGGGTTGGAAGACTGGCTGCTTTGGGGAAGTCAGTGGTTTGGTGTGTTTGGGCATAGATTGTTTATGGGGGAGCAGTAAAACAGGTCAGTTTGTGATAGGTGTCAGGTGATACAACCTCGTGGATTTTGAACTGCTAGCTAATATAGTGTATCAGGTAACCACACCATCAGATTGGCACTTTGTAAATGTATTGAGTACCTGGGACTGGGATTAAAAAATGTACCAGAAATGTACAGATAGCTTACACTAGGGTGCATGTTATTTAAGGAGAAAATTGTCTAAGAATAACCCTAGGCACTCATGAGTTACCTAGACAACAAGCTGAATGGGAAGTAGGGCGCCCCTTCTCCCCATCCCCCAACTGTACAGGTGGCACCAAGGCTCAGATCCCATGGGAGTGGGGGAGCACTGAAATTTCATGGACTTCAAAGAGCTCCAGCTGCCCCCAGATCCCCAGGCTTAGGGCACATCAGCTATTCTGAGTCAACTCTATAAACAACTGGCACCCCACGTCCAGAGTGCCAAGCTGGCTGGGTATCTCCATCTGACAAAGCCATTCTATCACGCTTGCTCGGAAGAGGGAACCACGGGGGTGAGATGTTTTCTTCTGAAATAGAATCCATGCCAGGTGGCAGTGGGCCTGCTGGTCTTAGGATATGTCTTGGAACCAATATATACCTTAACCTAGAAAATCTTTTTTTTTTTTAAGATTTTTATTGGGGAATTGGGGGGATGGGAACAGTGCTGGGAAATTGGGGGAAGGGGAACAGACAAGTTGCTGTTGTTTTGTTCTTCAGTCTAGTTGTGGAGGACGTTGCTTCACTGGCCCAAGTTAGCACCATTATAGCACTCTTCCTGGGCGAGGCAGATCAGTCGCCGGCTTCTGGATGGCCGTTCACGCTGGCTGCTGGCTACACAAGGTAGCCCATGGCAACTCACTGCAGCAGGGGCTGCAGCACTCATGGCAGCCCAGCTCCAGGTCGAGCTGCCTGCCATTCACCATCTTGGCTGCAGAGGGCAGTGTCACTGGCCCTCATATGTGGGATCTGAACTCTCTGGCATCCCAAGCCAGTTCTTAACCAACGCGCCGCTCAACCGGCCCCTAGAAAATCTTTTCAAGAGTTATTGGAGAGACTAGAATACATTTCTGTCTTGCCAACCCTGGCCTTGAACATTTTCCCTTTCTCCCAAAAAGCCCAGTTTTTAACTCATTACTGGCTTTACAAAAAGGTATTATTGGCAGAACTGCAGAGACTGGTTAGGAGATTCTCTTTTGAGAGAAAGGTGGTTTGAACGGGGTGTGATAGGGAATAGAGAGAAGTGTATGAGACGTGGGGGCTGAGCAAGACTGAGGAAGGTCCCAGTGGAACAACAGAGAAGCTCTGTATTATAGGGACCCAGAGCTGTGTTGTCCCGTGGTAGCCACCTGCCACTGAGGATGCGAACTGTGGCTAGTCTGCAGGTGCCACGAGTGTGTAAAATACACACCAGATGTCCACGACTTAATAGGAAATGAAGAAGGGAACATATCTTATTAGTAATTTCTACATTGCTTACATGTTAAAGTGATATTTTGGATATATTGGATTCGATAAAATACATAACATTCTACCTGTTTCTTCTTACTTTTTTCGATGTGGCATTTTAATGTGTCACTTTTATGGCCCACATTATGTTTCTGTCGGACAGCACTGCTCTGGAGTTATACAGAGGAAAACTGGGTTAGCGGTAAAGACAGAGGAGACTTGATGTTTGGGCCTGTGTGTAAGATCACACCTAGACAGAGAGCGCAGTGATCAGAGCAGAAATCTGGGGAGAGTCCGGCAGCAGATGCTGACATTAGGAACAGACGGAAGCAGAGGAGTGTCGTGGCCAGCTGTGAAAGGACAGCAGGGGGGTCAGAGCGGGCGAAGGCCGAGGCTGTGACCAAAGCCCAAGGGGAGTACTTTGAGTAAATGGGTGCAAACCAGGAAATCACGAAGATCCTGTGGTCGGAGACTGGGATGCTAAGATTCAGTAATGAAGGGGTGGGCTGGTTTGGAGTAATAAGCAAGTCTGTAGAAAGTGATAAGACACTGGTTCTGAAAGAAAGGCCTAAGAAAACCCGCCTGTGCGGCAGGTGGTGAGGGATGAACGCGGTTCTTTGGGTTGAGACGGTCTATGAACGATGCAGCCTGGGGCAGGGAAGACAGGCTGTCCGGCAGACCTGCCCTGGTTAATCGTCCTGATTAACGTGGCTTTGTCTGCTGTCACTCCCCCATCTCCACTGGCTCCCACTTGCTTCCATGTGACCACATGTCCATCTGCCTCCTTTTTAATGGCTGCATGGTAGTTATCTATACTGTGTGTATACTATTGATTTATTCTATAAAGATTACTGATATCAGTTTGGGAAAAACAGTCGGGTCGAGTATGTGAGGACACACATAAATACATACATGTGTATCTGTTGTGTTAATTCTCGCCTGGCCCTGATTTAGGTTTCTTTTGGCGTTCTTGATTTAAGGTGAGGCCAGAGAACATGGGTGCCTCCAGCTAATGGTGGTTAATGAGAACAAACTGTTTATCGTCGCTATGCAAATAAGACAGACCTCCATGTGTGTGAAATGTGTCTTCTTTTCCATTTGGGTTTTAGGTTCAACAGAATCTCTCAATCCTAGGCCACAGGCCACAATTTCTCCGGCAGATCTTCATGGAATGTGGTATCCTACAGTTCGACGGACGCTTGTGTGTCTCTCCAAATTGTACAGATGTATAGATGTACGTATGTAAAATCTTGTATCTTTATTGTAAATTGCTTGCTCTTTCACTTGAAATATTTTTTTAATTTTAAGATCTTGGTGTAATATTTTATTTGGTATTATGTTAGAATCATAATTTCTAGATCCAGAGAATTTGAAGATCAGTCTTGTTTAGGGATTCTTAACCTGAGCGTCTGGAGACCCTGAGAATCCACTAATGGGCTTGGGGAGTCTGTGAACACCTTGATGTTGTAGGTAAAATTACCTGTGTATGCTTCTGTTTGTGTCTTTCTGAGGAGAAGGGCTATAGCTTTTTTTGATTCTTGTAGAGGTCTGCGACCACAAATAAATTCATCTGTCTTAGTTTATAGATGAAGAAAAAGATGTGGAAAGGTTAAGTGATACATCCAGTGTCACATTGGTATAATATATATTTAGTATTAACTTCAGTATTAGATGCAACTATTGCAGTTTTGCATTCAATTTAGATCAGCTTCCCTAACATGTAGTGTTAAGATTACATGTGTTTCTACCATGGACTGATTTTAGTTATTTGCTGAAATCAGCAGTATCTTTTAATTAATTAATTTTTAGCACCAGCTTATATTGCGTGTTGATTTCAGGTAATAGTTATTTTAAACTTTCCAGTTTAATGATATGATTATCAACCCATGAAGTCAGATTTGTCTACATTTATTTACTGTTAGTGGTTTACTGCTGAACCAAAAACAGTTTATAAAATTCAATGGTTTTAATTCACTTTTTAAAAATTAATTTGATTGTTAACAACCCAAATAGTATATAAAAGAGAGAAGTGATTAAATACACAGTCATGTAATTAATTGTCCAGATGCCACTATTTCTTAAGAATATTGTTCCAAACAGGTATGTGTGACCCCTGTCACTGTGGAGATGCTCGTACGCAGACTCCTGGGGCCTGAATGAGGGGCACAGTGGTTTCATTGGCTCAGTGCAGTACACACTCCTTGGTATCTGGTTACTGGGTTTTGTGCTTGGAGATTTTGAAATTCAACCAGAAAGTGCCTTTTGCCCAGTCCTGGGACTTTTAGGCAGTTAGATGTGTCGGCCTTTCTGCCCAGCTAATGAGATCTCCTCCAGAGGGAGTTTGGACAGTGACATTACCTTGCTCCCAGCTTCCGCTGGAGGTGTATTGAATGGTGGTGTTAGGCTGGGATTCAGAAACTTCCTGCAGTGGAGCCAGGCTCCCGAGGGAACTATCCAGGGGCCCATTCCATACAGAACCCATTGTCATCACAGACCCTAGTGAGGCCTCTCAGGTGCTTACAGGGCCTTTAGCCAGGCAGTAGGTAGGCCTGAGCACATGCCTGGGCCTTTTTATTTCATGCCCTAGGCCTGCCTGTTGTTTTTCCCCTAGTTTATGCTCGAATCTTAGCCCTCTCTACTCTACCCATCAGAGGTGAGAAGACAAATCCGGTGAAAAGGCTGAGCAGGAGAAAGCAGGTGTAGTCTAAGCTGCCCAGCTTTGGTCTTCCTGAGGTGGGGCAGGGACGGCACGGGGCAGCCCGACTCGCGTCTTACTGCAGTCGCCTCACGGGAAGCAAAGAGGAAAGCAGTACAAAGAGAGAATCGCATCGCGTCTGAGGCCGGGGCCTGGGACTGTGGCCTGATGACAGGCATTTTGCTCGTACTCATCCAGATCAATCTCATCTCGGGTGGAAGGGATGCAGGGAGGGCAGCAAGACCGGCAGGCGTCCCTGCCCAGACCGACATGCCACCCCCTAGGAGACATGGAAACGACAGAGTAAACCTAGAACCATACTTCACATACTATCTTGTAACCTGATTTTTTTCACTTAATTATATTTTATAAGAATTGCACCACCTCTAGCATTTTTTTATTTCATGCAGTGTTCTGTAATTTAGATTTACAAGGATTTTTGTCAGCCCCTTCATCATTGAACATTTAAGTGATTTCCAGTTTTTTGCTGTTTTAAAAAACATTAATGATGAGCCGCATGCATGAATTTTACACTACAATGCCGATTACTTGGGATACATGTTTAGAAGTGGATTCACTGAGGGCTTGTTTCAAAGTTGGTTTTATAGATTTAGAAAACAACCTGCACCGTATTGGAGGTCATATTGGAGAGAGCTCTAGGAGTTCGGTACCGTGCCAGCCTTGCTCACCCACCGCTGTGCCTCCCGCATCTAGCCCAGAGCCTGGCGTGAAATAACTGCTCAGGAAACACCGTGAAGGGCTACAAGTATTTCAAGAGATGCAAATTACGAGACTCTGTTAGTCCAGAAAGGTTGCATGGGAATAGGAAACTCCAGGAGGAAGATTGCCAGGAATATAAATTAATCAGTGGGTGAGGGCCAGCAGTCTGCATTTACTGTGCTCTGCCTAGGGTGGTCCTTTGTTTGCGGAGCACCCAGAGTGATGATGTTTCTCTTTCCTCTCACCAGAGGGCGGTGTTCCAGGGGCTATCACAGGAAGCCTTGTCCGCCTGCATTCAGTCCTTACTGGGAGCCTCGGAGTCTATCAGCAAAAACAAGGTTTGATGGAGTGTTCGGTGAAATCTTGTTAGCATAATAATGTTGGGGAATGTATTGTAGCATTTATTTATAGGCACATAAACTTAAAGCCATTTTGGCAGTAGGATTTGTTTGTTTAATATGATTTAATTTTGAGGCCCTTTGAGAGAAGCTAGTATTTCACTGTAGTGCTAAATACTAGACTGTGAGAGAGGGCCTGCTTTGCTAACCTACCAAAAATGGTAATTAGGTTATAAATTCCATAGCATAAAGGTTTATGGTTATAACCTTAGCAACTGGGGAGGTCGTGGACTGCTATTTATTTCCCTGGAATACCAAATCAGAGTTTTTAAGGAAACGTAGCAATTTATAATAATCCCTACAACGATGTTCTAGTTAGTTATTTATTTACAATGATGTTTTAAATAGCTGAATAGCCTCACTTGGAGGAAATCAGCCAACCAGTTCAGAAGACGGGCAATCGTGGCCCACGTATTGTATGACTAGAAGTAGTTGTTGTGACTTTGTGACTTACTACAGTTTTTTAATCAAGAAGAGATCTGGGGCTGAGAACTGCTGTCATGTGCTTCTCCCGCGGCCCCTAAGGTTTTTTCCAGGAAGCACAGCATGGCTGAGTGTTGCTCTCCTAACTCTCCACTTCCAGGTACCACTGCCTGCATGGAGGGAACAGCCAGCATTTCCTGGCTACTTGGAGTGTGCAGACGTTACCTTTCTGGCGTTCCACGTTTACAAACTTGATTTCTAACTTTAAGGCTTTAGATACATTTAAAAAATATATATCTCACAAAAGAATTTGGGATCCTGTTGCTGGAAAAGTTCTGTCTTTGTGATTATATTCTCCTGTTCGTGGATTGGAGAGTTAACATGAAATTTTGATGTGGGGACTGCAAGAGGATGGAGAATTATAGACAGGCAGGTTTAAGTTTTGAAAAGATTTGAAAAGTTTGAGCTCTCATATTGTTCATAATAGGTGAAATGTACATAACTTTATTTAATGAAAACATACATGAAAAAATGTAACATTGAAAGCGTCTGAGTGACTGTGGAAGATTTCCCTTCCTCTTCCCTGCATACGCTTTTCTTTAATTTTCCAGATTTTCTACATACAGTGAGCATGTATTTCTTAGCTCATCAGGAGGAAAAAAATGTCCTAATTAAACAAATGTTCACATGCTCATGTCCTCTTGTATGCCCGTCCCCTTTTTTAAGGGAGGAGGGAACAGCCTTGGGATTATTCAGTCTTCGCCCTCTTTGGCTCTGTTATCTGATTCTGTGTCCTGCATATTCTAAGGGATCTAAGTAGTGTGAGGAAGCCCCCAACTTAGTAAGCAGTAGCGAGTTTATTTTCATGGCTGAGTTTGCATCCTTTTGCCTTTCAACTTTTAGTTTATTTATAAGAGTTTATTTGAGCCAAACTGATGACATATGCCCGGGAGCCAGATCTCAAATGCTTCCTCAACTTTTTCAAAAGTGATCAGCGAAAAGCAATCACTTAATGTCTTAGAGTTTTCTAAGGCCCAATGCTGCTCTTAGAGACTTACATTGGTCACCTACTTTTGCAGGGTTCAGGTACATGCTCCAGACTGTGAAACTGCTTTTGAATCCTGTTATGTTGAATTACGAGAAGTAACAATGATGGCAGCAGTTAAGGTCACAGAAATCATTAGGGAAGGGGACACCAATGAGGAGTTCGGCATAGTTTACTTTTTTTAATAAAAACAGAGTGAACATTACTTGGGTAATGTTCTCAAGGAATTAGTATCTAATTGGGAACAAGGAATTAGATACTGTACTTACCACTGTGTGTGTGCATGCATGTTTGTGCACGCACATGCATGTGTATGTAATCCACTCCCTTTGAAATTTATAAGGTTAAAATAGAGAAATCCTATATGTTGCAATGATAGATTTTTTTTTTTTGAAAATTTAGGAAATCAGAAATTATCCAGGCTCTCCATCTTGATTTATGCTTGAGTTGTTAATGTGCCATAGTTGCTTTGAAACCTTTGATTTTCAGAAGTTTTTGAAGAGATAATTCATTTCCATCTGCTTTTTAGGTTTACATCTCAGTTCATAAAGATAGGGTTGTTGATAGCATAGTTTTCTAAATGCTGCAGCTTTGCAGCCATCATCACTTCAAGAGGTTTGAATGAGTGAGTTTTTTCCCCCTGTTAAAATAGTTCCTGTTTCTGTAGAAACTTCATTTTTAGATTAATCTATGATGGATGAGCTGTCATAATTCAAGTATACAGTTCTTTCTGTATTAACTACTCATTGTCATGCAAAGTAGTAAAGGCATTAAAGATGCAACAAGCTGTTTTCAAAAAACATAGGAGGCATTTTCATCTTTATTATTGTACTTTTGGTTTTGTGAACACTTTGATGATATGAACATTATGTCCCCTATAAATCTGGTCAGAAATAACTTTGATTTTGTTGGTTAAGTTAAATAGTCTATGGTAGGATAGAGTGCTCTAGGTACAAGTGGTCCAAAGTGAAATAAAAGACTACAGTAAAATGCTAACTCCTGAAAAGAAACTGGTTTATGCACTAGAGCAGCGGTTCTCAACCTGTGGATCGTGACCCCTTTGGGGGTTGAACGACCTTTTCACAGGGGTCAACTAAGACCATCGGAAAACAAAAAGATATTTACATTACAATTCATAACAGTAGCAAAATTACAGTTATAGAGTAGCAACGAAAATAATTTTATGGTTGGGGGTCACCACAACATGAGGAACTGTATTATGGGGTTGCGGCATTAGGAAGGTTGAGAACCGCTGCACTAGAGGTTTTGTGCCTTGGTCTAATCTTAACGTGATGTGTATATAAAATGACAGAAAGAACCCGTGTTGAATCATGTTCTATTTGCCATCATTTTGTGTTCTCCCAGATTCCTAAGTGTGTTCTTTGCATGAAGCTTGATTGAATGACTGTCCTACGTGACAGTTTTGTCATTATTAGAGATTTCAGTAATTAAAATGGGAAACAGAAGCTTAAGTTATTTTCCTTATCGAAAACATGTTGGAACCACGTTATTCTGATGGTTTTCATGCTCTTGTCACATTGGATGTCTTAAACAGTTTTGGGGACTCTTTCTAATTACAGGAAGGTACGTCTTTCCTCAACACTGTGATATGACCTGTGACAAATCTGCGTTATACACTATGTAAATGGCTAACAAGTCAATTACAAACCGGCTGAATATACACATCTTAGAGCTGGTGCCGAACTCTCTTTAGAATAGTCATCCTGATTTCAAAATTGGTTTCAAAATTTGCAAGCATTAGGTGTCAGTCAAAACTGAGGATGAAACTAATGAATGTCGAATTCTCATGCTTAAAGTATACTTCCATTTTAGGGTTTTCAGTTCTCTGCTATTTTTACCGTACTGTTTCATTTAAATTTCCTACACGCTAACTTTGTTTGTGCAGTATATAAAAACCAGTCACTCAGTCATCTAGTATATCAGTAAGCTAACATGATACTATTTGCTGGATCACAGCAGCCTTAGTAAAGTAAATTAAATTTATATTATACTATTTTTGCCCATTGGAGTTGCTAGTTCTTTAAAAAATAGAGCAAGTATTCAAAATGTATAGCATTTGCGATTTACTCTAATGCTGTGTTCCAGAGTGCAAAGGAATTTTCCATCCAATAAGTCATACTTATATATGGGTTGTGTGCTTAATTTAGAAGGTGAGGAGATAGACCAGCCAGTGTCATTTTCCCACAGCCCCTTTATTCTTTTCCGAATGTATAATTTCATTAGAAATATTTTCAAGGTAGAGTTCTATCTGGAGAAGCAGCCAGAAGGAGCAAACGCAGACTTGCTCATGTTAATACGCAGACTCGCTTCTGAAATGAGGACTGTGATTATTCACTATGTGGAGGCTGGGTCAGAGCTTTGAGAACTAAGCTTGAATCACCAAGTCTTGTGGATGGGTCCTGAGAGGGGAGAAGGACATGCAGACACTCCCAGGGCCATAGGTGTCAGTGCTCTGTTGGTGGCAGGATAACCCAAAATGGTAACCCCGATTCATTGTACATTGGAGGCTCCTTTTGTACTTTTGCATAAATATGAGTATTTCTGATACCCTGGATTTTGAAACCACTTTGACCTAATAGTGAAAGCAAATTGCTGAAGGGAAACTAGAAAGGCCCGCGAGTCGGAATCATGCTCAGGTTTTGAACTTTCTTTTACTGCCGGCCCTGTGCTGCTGCCAGGCTGCATGGTTTCCTATTGAACCAAGTTCAACTAAATTGCACTTCTCTTTCTGTGTTGCTTTACAACCATTTTTCCGATTCACTTTCTTGGATTTGCTAAGTAGAGCCGGTGACAGTGTTAGTAAGAATTTGAAGCAAGGTTTTTCCAGACAGTTCTAAACTGGATAATAAGGGTAATTTATTGCACAAGAAAGAAGTGTTGGTGCCATAAAGTTAGGTTAAGAGTCAAAAAGCTAGGTCAAGCACCATAAACTTAATGTTGATTAATAATGTATGTATTTTATATGCTCATTTTTATTTAATCTGTGATAATGCCCATTTTTCTGTCTTACAATTTAGACTCAGATTGATGGACAACTTTTCTTAATAAAGCATCTTTTGATTCTTCGTGAACAAATCGCTCCATTTCACACTGAATTCACCATTAAGGAAATTTCCCTGGACCTCAAGAGAACTAGAGGTACTTTGTTGTCCTGGCTGCACAGTTGGGTGTGTCCGACCTGCCCAAATGTGTCAGCACAGGTTACAGGTTTATTTTATGTTCATCTGCAATTTTGTTGCATGCTGTGCCTCCTGAGCATGTCCCTTGTTCATGCTATGTGGAACTGTCGACGTTCAAATCACATCTAACTTGCTGTATTTCCTGAAGGGAGCTGATCTGAGCATTCAGTTTGTAATATAGCATTACCTCTCTTAGACCCTGCCTCGTGTTACCATAACCAGTGACACAGTGAAAAATTGGTGTAACAGCTACTCACAGTGTCAGCTAATTGGGATGATTTTAAACATTAAGTTGACTTGGTCAGATCATGGACGTTCAGGAGCCAGCTGGGGAACGGGGAAGACGCCTTACCTGAGTCTGCAAGTGTCGGGCTCTGTTCCTGGCCCATCATCTCCTGGCTCTTGGGTGGCCTTGGATGGGTTTTCTGGCTTGTGTCCCCCAGGTAAAATCAGGCAGTCAGCACGTCCTGATGCCTTCACCAGGCTTTCAAGCTCGGTCAAGACCATTGAGAAGGACAGTGTCTGTTAAGATGCTTTGTAAGCTTAGGGTGTTTAAATAAGCATAGGTGGTTATTGTCAAATCAGCTGGTTAAGTAATCATGTGGACAGGGTCTTTGAGTTGGTAATGGACATTAGCTCATCTTGGGAAAGGTGCTTCGCTATCCTAACGACCGAATTAGCAAGTGATGATTTCTAAAGGATCAAAGTGGTTACTTTCTAAGACATTGATTTTAAGCAGTGAAGAGTATACCACAGATATCCCTCATTTCCCTTAATTACTTACAAACTTATCTAAACTCTCTTAACCATTTTCAAGAGAATTAAGCTCTAATGACTTTCGCCATTCATTTATGTAATGAATGAACTTCTCTCATTATGTGTTGGGGGAATTGAGAAAAGTCATAGTCACTCAAATTATTTCCTGTATTCTGTGGTTCGGTGGAACTCCAAAAATAGAATTTCTGAGGGTGGCAGGTTGCTAGTTCCCTAATACTCAGCCTGTAACGGAGTCGACTACGTTCCGGTGGACCCCCCCCCCCCCCCCCCCCCCCCGAGCGCCAGTGGTCTCATCTTGAGTGATAGTCGACTCCTTTTCTTTTCCTCATGCTCTCTCCTTTTCCACTAGAGAACGCCTTTTGGTTCTGTTGGAATTTGGTTAGTAAGCCCATGTGTTCTTCATATACTTTGTGATTTTTTTTGTTTTAAAACAGCAAGCAGCCAGATCTCCTGGCTTTTGCCCTCAGGGAAACGCATAATTTTTTTAGAGCTTATTCTCATCAGAGGCTTCCATCTCCCAGTCAGTCGAGTTCATTTCCTCCTTTCAGTGTGAGGAGCTCTTAACCTTGAAGAGCGCCAGGCACTGCAGTCCTTACTTTATTCAAGTGATGGGATAAAGCAGGGCTGATCTATTTTCTTTCATTTTTTAAAAATTCATAATTTATTGCTGCTGGGTTCCAGTTTAGATCCACTGAGGTGTGAGAAAATGCAACACCCTAAAATTTTGGCAAGTATTGGTTTAAAGTATGTTTGTCCTAAAACATTATGCAGCTCATTCAGCCCTACCATATGTGGTTTGATTCTGTGTATTGTCCGCATTCTTTCAGGTACCTGGCAGAAAAAAGAGCAGAAACAAAGAGCAATTGACTAAAGCTTCCCTCTGAACAGGGCATCTGACAGGGAGGCACTTTTGCAGTAAGATCAGGGTCAGGGCAGTAAGAACGATTGTGGTAAAACAGGGTTGGAAGCATCTCATGCTGTGCTTTCTCCCATCTGGCAAAGCAGAGCAAAGAAACAGTCTTTTCTGCCTGTCACTCAATAATACTTGCTATCTTTTAAGCCTCTAACCTCTTACGACTAATGTTATATCTTATTGCATTTGAACATCGATGAGACCTCAGTTAATACTTTGCATAGATGCTAGTTAGTCTGGAGGTTAAGGGTGAATATGTCCTTTTGGTGTTTTCTTTCTGGCTGACACATTAGTTTATTCACTCTGCTTCATATGAATAAATTTCTCTGCCAGCCAGAATCGTAACAAAAGAAGCCGGGTAAGTATATGAATATACTTTTTTTTGTTTGTTTTGTTTTTTTTTTCTTTTTTTTCTTTTTTTTTAATGAATATATTTTTAAAAAACTTGTTTGGCATTCTAAAAGTAAAGCAGTGAAATTTTAAGGTATCAGTTGCCATTTATCCTTTTTCTTTTTTTTTTTAAGATTTTTATTAAATGTAGCTAACATACATTATAGCCATCATTTATCGTTCTTCTTATTTTCTATACATGAATAATTAAGTTGAATGGTCATTTTGCAGTTCTGACTTCTGGGAAATAACTGTATGTGGGTACCGTAGTCATCGTTGGCATGAACCTCACCCCTCATGGAGGGGAGCTGGTGAACATCAAACCGCTCCTGCTCTGGGGTAACAGAGCTAGGGCACGCTAACACACTGAAACAGTAACAGCTTTTCCACTGAAACTACGTGTTCACAGGACGAGTGATTTTGTTTCACAGATGCAGCGTTTAAAATCCTGAACCCCATGACTGTTCCAAGATTTTTTCGGCTGAATAGCAACAATGCCTTGATAGAGTTCTTGTTGGAGGTGAGAAGAAATCTGTCTGATGGGTGGGGTAGAGAGACGGCACCCTTTGCATGTCTGGTAGTTTCCAGGCATGTGAACACAGGAGGAACGTGTCTTTGTTTTAAGGGTACTCCTGAGATAAGAGAACACTACCTCGACTCTAAAAAAGACGTAGACCATCATCTGAAGTCGGCCTGCGAGCAGTTTATCCAGCAGCAGACCAGGCAGTTTGTAGAGCAGCTGGAGGAGTTCATGATGAAGGTATGGGCCTGGCTGCATTTTCCAGAAAGTGACTTTGAACTCTACCCTGTGTTTCCTTCCCCGTTGCTCTTGTGAAAACTCTGGCAGCAGGAGACAGTAAGCCCTAGTCTTCATGATTCCGTTTAGGAAAGCACTGTGTTTCTTGCTATGGAGGCTTTTTGTTTTGGGCTTTTAGATAAAAACTGCTTATAGAGTTTCTGGTTTTTAAGTGAAAGAGTGCTAATATTGCACAGCTATTTATGGCAGACCTCTGCTTAGCTGTGTTTTGTCTGTCCACCTCACGGGCATATGCGCGTCGCCTGCGACGTACTTTTTCCTGGGTTAGGACCTGTGTGGCAGTGTCACAGACCTGCCTGTCAGGGGTTCCTGGTTCTTACCTGGGTGAATTATTTCCCTTTTTGTTTTCCATGCTAATTCTCCCTTCCATTTTGCATGGATAATTGAGAATTGAAGGTTTTACCTCATTGCGTTGTTAACTACCAGGTATGTTATATATGGGTTTATAATCATCTATCTGTCTCCTCGCTAGAAAATCCTTCAGCTGGCTGATGCCAGCAGTGAAAACCTCAGATCATGGTTGTTTTGATCTTCCTGTTTCAACCTGATCATTAAGAAAAATAAACAAACTTAAATGTTCTTACTAAGAATTTTTCTCATAAAGATGTTTAAAAACTCTTGAAATTAACTTAATTTATTAGCCTCTACCACTTATCCAGATTTGTATTAGAAGACATCATAAAAAGAATAAAAACATCACAGCCCTTTATCTGAAATTTACTTCACTAAGGCTTAACTGGGGAGACAAAATGTATGTATGAAATGGCCGGGGGGCAGCTAAGCAAATTATCCATCAGTAGCTTGCTGCCTGTGATAAAAACGGAACGTATTAGTTTTAAAAAATAATACCGCAAAAGCAAATACAGAAATGTTATAGCAGTCAGACTACTGTTTTGTGTATCGTTGGAGTACACTAATTGTTTAGTGGTAAATTTTAGTCCTCCCTGTCAAGTATTTGGAGTGTGTGTGTATGTTTTTTCCTACCACATAAATTTAAAAAGATGGTGGTGGTAGAAATGTTTTCATCCAGCTTTGAATTTTTAAAAGTGGTACAAATACTGATGCTTCGTAATTTACAGAGAAGTTATCATCCTTTGTACTGAGATTGTCCTCACGGAAACCAGCCTGTAGATTCTAGTGTGTATTTTGGGGATAGTGCCCACATTAACACTGGTGGGAGATACTCTAGGTGAGTATTTTGCAATAACAGCAGCAGAGTGAAACTTCCTATAGAAGCAAGTTGATTATAATGAAATCTAGGATTAAAGGGTTTGGGTTTTTTTCTAAGAAAAGCACAGTGTCTTTGAAATCAGGAGAATGAGCATGTGCTGGTGTAGTTGTCCCAGCTGACCTGAATAGAAGTTTGGTAACCCCTTTCCCACCGGGACACTGGAAACATTCTTTTTAAAATCAGAGGTTTTTGTAGAAAATACATATTCCACGTGTGAGTTACGTAATGGTTCTCCGTGGACACGCGCGTGTCTCAGCAGGGACCTCTTTTCATACTCCCCTCCCTGTGGAGTGACCGGTGTGGGACAGGCCTCCTCTGACCGCCCTTGAGAAGCCAACCCCACCTCCTCCTCAGTGTGTGGTCCCCTCGCTCCTTTGTCCTTATTCAACCCCGGTCCCTCACTGGTCCTCCCTGAGTTTCCAGTCCATATGTTTAGTAGAGGGCTGAGCATCCCTTCTGTGGGTCTTATTCCCAATTCAAGTGCCTTCTCCTGCCCTGTTGGCATAGAGTGAGTCAGAGGCAAAGATGCACACACACTGCACACACGTGCGCACACACGCGCAGGCGTACCATGTGCGCACTAGAGTTCACACAGATGTAGCGATCAGTTAAGACATGCTTCTTAGAATCTGGGGACCAAACATTTTCACCTTTTCCTGGTGAATGTTACCACTGTTTTGAATAGCAGAAACAGAATAAAGGATTTAAAAACTTTATAAGAATTGTTTAAAGATAAATCTGCAAGTGCAGAATGTTTGCCTCTTTTATTGTAGTTGGCATTTTATAGGGCAGCCAGTGCTGGCACCTGGATAAATGATTGTAAGGAAAACAGCACCCACAGGTTACAGAAAGGAAACAGTATTTCACCTTTCATTTGGATGTGTGCTTCTTGGTCCCTGTACTTACAGTTTGGACGTAAAGTCTCGTCAACAGAATGTCCTCAGCTTGTTTCTAAGTTTGGACTGATTTTATAAACATACCTGGGTTTGCATAAAGCAACAAACTGTGTGAGTGAGCAGAGGGCATTCTTAGGTTGTCAGAAGGCTTGCTTTTGAGCCTTAAGACTTGAGGTTTGATTTGAATCTCTGATCCTCTACCCCCGTCACCTCCTTTAAGTTGGCTTTTTTGTTTAAGTAGCTCCTTCCTTAGCCTCTTCATGTTGAGATGCTTCCTTTTCATTAATCCCCATTACATTCTGGAACCTGGAGTAAGGAAAACAACTTCACAGATTGAGAACCTCAAGTGTTTCAGAGTGACCCAGCATACGAGAGATAAACATTTTTACAGTGTCTTAATCGGTCTAGTGTAAACATCCTGATTTTTTGGTATAATTCATGAAATTTCTTGAGAAAAGTAAAAAGTCCTGGAAGAACATGCATGCTCTGTTGCCCAATTTCCTGCTCCTTGGAGAATAACCTTTTCTCTAAGTATTTGAATGGCCCTAGAGAAAGTAATACTGTTCTGAGTGTTGGGGGTAGAGGTTCATAGGAAAGCATTTGGGTCAGATATTTTATCAAACTCAAAAACTGTTGATTTTTTTTTATTGTTCTAGACTTTCATTGTACCGAATAGTGCTTAAAACAAACTCTTAAGTGCGACTTGCACTGGTTGTGGGTGTTATAAAAAGAGCACAGTATTTCGAGTCAGAAAGCGGCGCTCTAGACCCCTCTGATCACTGCGCCTCCTGACTGAAATGGCAGGCAAACCACTGACTCTCTCCCAGCCTCGATTTTCTACTCTCTCTGCAGTTCAGACAGCTACTGCGTCCCTCCTCCTTTCTTAAGGTTCTTATGAGGACCAAAACAAGATCATATATTGGGTTGTCAGAGAAGTCACGACGTATTTTTGCAACGAAAAACAGAAAAAATACGTCATGACTTTTCCGACAACCCAATATATGAAAGTACTTTGAAGTGTAGGTTTTGCTTTAGCAAAAAACCTGAATGACAGAGTTTTATAGGAAGTACAATTTCAAGTTTATAGCTAAGCTAAAAGTGTTTGCCCCAGTGGGACCACTTTATGCTAAAAACTCAGGTTTGTGTTTAGCAGTATTCATTTTCTCTCAAGCAATTTGCTAAAGTATTGCAAGTTGATTCTTAATATTTCCTCGGAAGTGTTATTAATTTCCTCAGCAACACTATAAATAAAATTTTTTTCCTTAAGGTATGTTTAATAGAATTTGACCTATAAATTTAATTTCTGTTCTCAAGGAGTTTTAATCTAATGGGAAATCAAGAGAGGAAATATGTAAAATTAAGATATCTCCAGCACTGTCATTATGAGACAGTTGGGCCTGTGTTCATCCTGTAGGGTTTTAAAAAAAATGAGCCAATTGGGGGAAATGTGTGAAGAAAATGCTCCTTGAGGTTTAACATAAAGTGTATTATCTAGATAGCAAATAGGGATGAATACACAAGTTTGTATTTGTTTTCAATATACAAATAATTATATACAGTCTAAATATATGTCATTATGAAATTGGTTAAACTCTGGAATAACCAGTGGAGTGAGTAGTAGGCAGCCATTACTATTAAAACATAACTGGGATACAGAAAAATGCCCAGAATTTTCATGTAAGTGAGGAGAAAAGTTTTCAGAGCACCGTGTTCCCATTTTGTAAGTATAGACACATTAGTATGTTTGTATATTTACGTTGGAAAGTATTTGGGAGTGTTGCTAAACACTCAGTGGCTTGCCACCATTTCAGTCAGGAAGTGCAGAGGGGGTCTAGAGCTCCGCTTTCCTGACCCAAAATGCTGTGCTCTTTCTAGAACACCCACGACCAGTCCAATTCCTACTGAAGAGTTTGTTTTAAACCATAGTTGTGTGTCCTTCTTTATGAGAAATCTAAAGAGTTGGTGCTCAAATATTTCTAATGGGACTTTCTAGTGAGGCCAAGGTCATGGCCTGGACCTTTGGCACCAAACAGCCTATTTTAAAAAACTGTTCATGCAGTTTGTGTTTATGCACGCTTCCCAGCTACACCTCGGCTACACTGTGATTTGCCACGTTAAGAACCGTCTTGTCTGAGAAGCTCACTGTACTTTCTTTGGTTCTGCTTCTCTGGACTGAAGCTGCGGAATAGAGAGATGACTGGGAGGTGGGTGTCCAGCGTGCACCTGGAGCGCGGGGTCCAGTGTGACTGCCGGTGCTTTCTGAAAAGCTTGGTTTTTAAAAATAACATTCTGCCTGCCTGTGATATGACAGAGGACCCTCTCGGTATATAAAGGAGCTTTTCCAGCTGCTGACATTTTCTAATAACATACAGTAATAATTGAATGTTAATATAACCGTCCACTTGAAGGGGGGCCTGCTTTGTGCTGGCCTTTCTCTAGGCCCTCGTTTTCGTCTCCCCACACCCCCCATGTTTTAGGCAGAATGCCTGCGTTTATTGGGATGGTTTTATGCTTTGGAATCACCAAAGAAATTTTGGTATGATGCATTTTCTTTTTGGGTTGCACATTTGATTATCATGTTTTAATAGGTTCAAATGGTGGTATATATCCTTTGAGAGAAGTAGTTTAATTTGTTGTGAATGAAATGATATTTTTTTCTTTTTACTAGGTTTCAGCATTAAAAACAATGGCCAGCCAGGGAGGACCCAAATACACCCTGTCACAGCAGCCGTGGGCACAGCCAGGTATCATTCATGCTTTACTGTTAGGGAGTTCTTTCTTTAGGATATTGATTCATTTGCATTTATATAGTCCTTGCTATGAGGGCTTGGAGTTGGTTTCCTACTCTTACGGTGGTTTGGGTTAGTACAAAATGCAGTTTGGAGCTTACACGTCTTACTTCGCCCAAAGTGCACATAAACAGTTAGAAATCAAACATGACTTAGATGGAAACACTGTGTCTGTTGCTTTCTGTACATTCACTTTTCATTGTGTTACATTATTTGATAGTATGAAATTAGGGACAGAATGTGAGTATTTTCAAGTATCATATGAAGAAATGTTGGACATTATTTTGTTCCACATTTTATGCAAGTTACACCTTCTGTTTAACATTTTAGAGTGTTTGATAAAAATTATAAAAATCGCGGCATCAGTTAAGGGTCGGCAGGCCATATCATTCTCTGATTGGCAGATATGCTTAAGATGCTCCCAATCTTACTCTTTCCTAAATGTAAATTTCTTTTTGTGCTAGAAGGTTTTTTTTCTTGACTAATTTGTGGGTTGATTTTGGTACATTTAGTGACATTTTAAGTGCCATCAAACCAGAATAAATAATTTTTTTTTGATTGATATTTCTGGCCATCCCCTGGCCCATATTGTGATAGAGACCCTTCGAAACGAAAAAGGCAAAATGGTGAAAGAATCATTGTTTTCATTTGGAGTAAGCTGTGTCCAAGTTGGTAGGGAAGCCTCTTCCTCATAGTGAGAGATGCAGACAATGATTCTGGCGTAGCATCCATAAAGAATTGACTGTCTACGGGCATATACTCTGGAATTAGATTTTTAATACGATTGGTTTTCCATGTGAGAGAATATTATGTCTGTCAGGTATTTACTTCTTTTGGGAAAAAGAATTGAGGCCATTCTAAAATTTTCAGTTATTGTTATTCCTCAGGTTAATTTGAAGTTGAATTAGAACTAAGAAGTTGAAAGGCTAGCTATGTATCTCTTAGGAAGATTTGTACATGTAGAGAATTATCAGTTATATTTGAAAGGAAGGCAGGATTTTATTGCAAAAATGGGTCATGTGAACTGTGTTGATGTCAGTTTGCATTGATTTGCTTTATTGAGAAGAAACTTTGTGACATGCTTTAGGCCTCTTGTTTCCTGTGAGGCAGACCGTGAGTGTTGTGCCATCTTTATTGTTTTAGAACTTTTCATTGTGTGTGAGATTGAAGTCTTTGCCCTCCTGCTGAAGGACAGCGAGCATACGGTGCTTTAGTGCCTTCAGTCAGAGGACAGAAAACCGGGTTCTTTCACCGACAACACTGGACATTCTAATCGTGGTGCGCCTGGGGGGGACCACCTTCTGACTCCCCCACCCCTGCAGCCAGGAGCAACCTCATTAGTCCATAACTCAGTACCTTCTAGAAGGAATTCTGATCATCTTTGGATTCACTGGGCCTTGGGCTCAAGGTTTCGGCACTTAACAGAGCTTATTTAGAAATAGGAGCTGATTTTATTTTGAACGTTTATGTAAATGAAGCTCTTGGGTATAATCTTAAACTAGATGGAAACCAGCAAATCGGCAGAGGCATTTTAGCCCTGCCAAGCCCCTTTGGGAGGGTCCCGTTCACTCACAGTGGGGGCTATCGTTTTCTCAAGCGGAGCCCTAATAGAACTCCGAGCTTTAGGTGTGTCGTGCTCTTAGCATGACTAGAATTGTCATTGGTGAAGGTGGAAGGACACTGACAAGGCCAGGTTGAAACAGGGCTTGCTGTTTTGTCCTTTGACCCCTGTCGCTTCCGAGTGCTCCTTAGAGCGGAGGTCTTGGTGAATACAGCCTGGGCACTTCCGTTTCCCTCGTGTGTCTTCTGCCCGTGTAGCCGCACAGAGCTGTGGAGTTGCTGTTTCTTGGTCTGTCATACAAGAAGCCCACACGTAAATGTCAAAGATAGATTTGGGGGTCCCTGACATGGGAGCATCAGAAATAGCTGAGGGTCTTGTCTTGGGCCTCTAGAAACCCAGGGCTACTGGTTCTTGCAGACTTGATCGGGCTCCCGGGGGTCATTTCATGATAAACTCACAGGAGATCGAGTTATAAATTAGGATGCCATTTTATTCATTTACTCTGGGAAATACATCTTTTTAGGAATTGGGCGATACAGTAGTCCCAGTTATCCACAGAGGACCCGTCCAGGACTCCCAGTGGATGCCCGAAACCGAGGGTGGTACTGAGCCCTGCATTTATACTGTCCTTTTTCCTGTGCACCCATGCACTTGATGGCTTCTCTGTGGCATGTCTGAATTGCGGCACCGTGCTGCTGCGCTTTGGGGACATCATTATGTTCAAATAAGGGTGACTTGAACACAGGCATTGCATTACCGCGACAGCCAGTCTGATAACTGAGACGGCCACTAAGTGACGAATGGGCAGGGCGCCCACCCAGCCCAGAGATGCCGGACAAAGGGCTGATCATGTCCCGGGAGGGACAGCGAGGGATGGAGAGATCTCATCACAATACTCAGAACGTTGCACAGTTTAAAATTTATGAATTATTTACTTCTGGACTTTTCCATTTAATATTTTTGAACCATGGTTGACTGAGGGCAGCTGAAACCGTGGAAAGTGAAGCTGTAGATAAGGAAGGACGACTGTACTTTAATTACGAGGCTCCACACACCCCTTCGGGTGATCAGGGCTCTGAAAACTGTCTTAGTGTGTTAGTGATAGAACCAAAGCCTGTGCAATTAATTGTCTTAAAGGAGCTGTCATCTACTTTATGAAAAATGAACGATTCCTGGATTATTTGTTCTTTCTTCTTGAGAGCATTGGCACTTTCTTAACCCTGCTCTGCCAGAACTCTTCTCAATTAAAAAAAATGCGTTTGTGTTTTTTTTATGGTGTAAAAAATGGTATAAAATTTGAATTGTGATATAAAATGAAAAGTACTTCTATTCTCTACCTCCAAACTGGTCCTCTCAAAGGTAACCACTATTAATGGTTTCTTTTCCAAAATTATTTAGGCATATACAAGTATATGTGAACTTAAAACATGTTACACAAGTAAGATTATACTGTATCCCTTGCTTTTTTAACTTACTCTGTATCTTGGAGCCATTTCTGTACTAGCCTATCCAGCTCTACTCATTCTGTTTAACAGATGCATAGAATACATCACTATAGCAAAATTTCTTTCATAATTTCATTAGTGGTATTTAAATTACTTTTAGTTTTTTTGTTTTTCTATACATGCTTTAATAAACTCCCCTGTACACATACATTTTGGTATGTCGTGAGTATATCCAAGGTAAATTTCCAGCAATAGAAATGTCATGTGAACGAGTATGTATATTTTGATTTTTGCTAGACATTGCCTGGTACCCGTCCAAAGATATTGAACCAGCTTATACTCCCATCAGCAGTGGATGAGGGTGCCCGCTCCCCCACACCCCAGCCAGCTGTATTTACTGTCTTCGTAATTTTTACCAATATGAAAATCTCAGTTTTAATATGCATTTCTTTCATTATGAGTGAGGTTGAGTATCTTTGAAATTATTAATCAGTCTTATCCTTTGTAGCTTTCTAGGTAATTTCCTCTTTTAAACACTTCATACGTATTACCACTGTTTTTTTCTATTTTAACTTCTTTTCAGACACTACACCTAGGCTACATAATTATTTGTTACAATCTTCTGAAATTCTATTCCCTTTCTGATAATACAGTGTAAGAATGTAACAAATGCATTTTTAGTTCCCATTAAATATCTGCGGATGTTTTCTGAATGATCTTGTGAGGCTGAGAGCATCTCTGAGTCAGGTCTGCAAATGAGTAAGCTCATGTTTTAGTTTACCTTAACTCTTATCTCCAGATTCCAAAGGCACCGTATTACAGTCCCTGTGAATGTCCTGAAGCATGTTGGGGGAATTCTTTTTGCTGCTGTAGCCCTGGGGATTAGAATTTTGTATTTAGTAGATACTTAATGAATGTTTATAGGGCTTGTAAATTAAACTTGATAAATAAACAAGAGAAGTGAAAGAAAGCCTTTGGGGAGATAAAGAGTCCTCTTCTTTTGATATTTTTCTCTCTTTATCCCCCTCTGAATGAAAATGGAAATGTTTCTTCTCTTTTTCTCTGTGACACTCATGAGATTAATTTCTTTCCAGCAAAGGTCGGTGACCTGGTGGCAAGTGTCTATAAGACAATAAAATCAAAGCTGCCTCTGACATTGAGAAGTATGTCATTGTACCTCTCTAATAAAGATACCGAGTTCATCTTGTTTAAGCCTGTTAGGGTGAGTATCATGATAATTTATTTGAATGTTGGCCAGTCCCTTCAAATGTGCTTGCCTTGTCTGCCATTTTCCTCTTCCTATAGACATTTGAAAACATTAGTGTACGATTCTAGTGAAGTTGGCTAATAATCACTGTGATTCTTGACAGGCTTACAAAGCCTGCATCTGTCTGATTATATCTTTCTTTCCCCACCCTCACTTTGTCTTAAGTTCTTTATGTTACTTTGGCACTACGGTAATTTCTACCTAAAAGTAGAAATTAGTAAATGAGTAAATAACAAAGTAGACTCTCTCATTTGATGTGGCCCAGCCCTTGAGAGAGCAGCATTTCAGGAGTTAGGCCCCATGTTACTGGTAAGTAGTGGGAAGAAGTGGCCTGCAGCAGCCACAGGGGATTCATGTCAGAGCTCATTTAGTGCTCGTAACCTCCAGCTCTGTGTTGAGCTCACATCTTCACCCAGGGCGTTGGTTGATTTTTAAAGTACGTTTTATGTGTCTGGGAACTTTGTTATCTTTTGTGTAAGAAATTGCTGCTGTAGACTCTTATTATTCTCCAGGGACACAGGCCTCGCTGGGGTTTGTTTTTTCCAGAAAGTATTACCTGCTCAGTCTTAGTTGGGCTGTGCTGGCATGTGGACTGTTCAGTGCAAATTGAGTGTCTTTGGTAATCCCACGAAAGATACATTTCCTCCACTCATTTTGGCCACTATCCTACAATTCACCATTCTTAATGCTTCCTGTTTAAGACGACTGCATATGTTTTGAGTGACTCAGTTAACATGACTGCCTCTTCTCTTTCTAAGAATAATATTCAGCAAGCCTTCCAGAAGTTCCATGTCTTGTTAAAGGAGGAGTTTGGTCCTGAGGACATCCAGATTATTGCGTGTCCCTCCGTGGAGCAGGTAACTCCGGGTGAAGATCCTTGTCGCTTTCAGAACCTCTTACTTGAGTAATGCCTCTGAGTAACTATGTTTTTAGTTTTCATTTTTAAAATTGTACATTATTTTATTTTCATGAGTAAGGCTTCAAACTTTGATTTGCTCTCTCAGATTTTTGATGATGGTTTTAGAATTCTCAGTTGCCTTTTGATCCTTTCTGGTATTGAAAGTTGTGTTTAAGATGAATGAACGGTTTGTGAAAGACATTTAGGTTGCTGAATAATTTTGTTTGCAGTATGCATGATAAAAGACCCACATTTCAAATGAAAAAAAAAAGAATGTTATTTTAGGGATTGGAAGCATTTGTTTTTTCTCTTCTTCCTAAATTTAAAAAACTGAATATAGAGTTTATTCTGTGTTGACTATCCTCGATGTATTCAATTCAGTCAGCAAGTTTTTATTGAGCATGTATTATATAACAGGAGTAGGCTGGTGCTATGGATACTCTAAGTTTAGTATAGATGAGGAGCTTGGTGTATGGTGAGGACTAGAGAACTTTGGGGAGAGTGGTAAGGTTGGTGAGAGCCTAATTGGAGGGGCCGGAGACTGGGGGTGAGGGAGACTGGAGGCAGTGAGTGTGGGTAAGTCTTTTGAGGAGTTTTTCTACCTGGAGAGAGAAAAGACATGGTAGCTGGGAGAAGTGGGCCATGTTTTTATTGAAATATAATTCATAGCCATAAAATTCACCCTTGTAAGGTGGACAATCAGTGGTTTTTAGTATATTCACAGAGTTGTGCAACCATCACCACTACCTAATTCCAGAACAATTTTGTGCCCCAAAAGAAATCTCATTCCCCTCTTCTACTAATCTACTTTTTGTCTTTGGGGATTGGCCTAGTCTACACATTTAATCAAATGGAACCCTATAGTACGTGGCCTTTTATGAGTGGCTTTTTCTCCTGTCGTAGTGTTTTCAAGGCTCGTCCATGTCGTAGCAGGTGTCAGAACTCTGTTCTTTTTTATGGCTGTGTGTGTGTGTGTGTGTATATATATATATATATATATATATATATATATATATATATATATATATGCCTTTATTGACATATGGGTCATATTTTAAAGACATGTATCTGCAGTTCTCGGGTTGCACAGTTAAAATACTTTTTTAAGTCTTTTGAAGTAATTCTGTAATTGTACTAACTTGATAGATAGTTAGGCTTGTTTTCAACATTTAGAGATTTTTCCCCTATTTTTATTTGATTTTATTTTTTAATTATGTAAATACTTGCATGGTTCCCAAATCAGAAATGCAGGACAAGGTAAATACAGAGAAGTCCTCTTCCCTTCTGGTCCCCGCCAGCCCCTCCCCCCCGTGGGTGACTTGTACTTGTTATTGCTGTTAACCTTGTTCTTTATTTTTAAAGATAGGGGAAATGCATGTATGTATGTTCATGGGGAAGATGAGAGGGAGGGAAAATTGACCCTGAGAAACGTTCTTGAGTGGAGAAGGGGAGCAGAGTCGCAGGAGTGGCTAGAGGGTGGAGCCTTCGTTAGGCGCGTGGGGCTCAGTCGTGGGAAAGGTGAGAAGGCTGAGTGGGCGCCCGGGGGATGTGAGGGGGCTCACGGAAGCCGTCCTCTGCCTGCGTCATGTGTGCGAGTGCAGGAAGGGAACCAGAACCTTGTGCTCAGATCCCATGGATCGTTCCAGAGGAAGCCCTCTGGCTCACTCTCACGTTCTCTCCCGTTTTAAATTTCCCTGGGAATTGAATGTTTGTCACCCATTTTCTTAAAATCCAATATACAGACGGTCCCCACTTAACAGATGGTTCGACCTAACGATGATCCGGAAGTAGAAGCTGCTTGGAATTTTGAATTTGATCTTTTCCTGGGCTAGGGCCACGCGGCACAGTTCTTTCGTGACGCGGGTCAGGCAGCGAGCCACAGCTCCCAGCCAGCCATGCGATCATGAGGGTCAACACCAATGTCCCACGGCGTGTTCACTGTGTGAGGTGCTTCTGTCCGGCCCTGGGCACATTCAGGGTGGGCTGGGCTAGAAGGTTCGGTAGGTTAGGGGTGTCAAATGCGTTTCCACGTAGGGTATTTTCACCTTACGTGGGTTTATCAAAGTCAAGGAACATTTACAAATATTTCTGTAACTTTATTTTGTTATAATTTCAAACTTACAAAAAATACAAGAATGGTAATATTTACAATTGGCCCGTTTGCTTTACCATTGTTGACGTCTCCCTTTCGTCTGCCTCCCGCTCCTCTTAAGTCATTTGAGAGGAAGTGAGGAGACACTGTGCTTGGAAATAGTTCCTAAGAATGAGGAATTCTCCCCCCTCCAACCCCCCTTCTTCCCCCCACACAGTGATTGAAACAGGAAATGTAACGTTGGTGCTGTTACCTCCCCCGCAGCCCGTGCTCCGACTTCCTCAGCCGTGCCATCCACGGCCTTCGTTCCCCCCGGTCCAGGAGCCGCTCCAAGCATCGCGTCAAGCGCGTCTCCAGCCTCTTTTGGGGCTGGAGCAGTGCCGCATTTCTTGACCGTGGCAGGCCAGTTATTTTGTAGAACGTTCCTCAATTTGAGTTGTCTTTTTCTCATGATTAGATCCAGATTTTGTACTTTGGCCCGGAAAAACACACAGGTGGTCTTGTGTCCCTGTCACTGAAGCACTCGTTTATGAAAGAGGTTATGGGGTGATGATTTTGGGGAAACAAAATAGTTCATTTATACTTTATAGAAGTTTGCACCTTATAGACGGGTCACTGCCGTCTTCATTTAACTGCGTGTCTCTCTAGGGCCTGGGCGACCGATTTGCGGTGCGCAGGCTGCCATTTCTCGCTGTTGCCATGGCGAGTTCTCTGGCTCTCTGGCTGGCTCTGTCCGTTCAGTCAGAGTTAGCGCGGGGCTGAGAAGCACGTGTCGTACCTGTTCTGATGCATTTAAAAGTCACCGAAAGAATTGGACTTACACACAGGTCTTCTCAAACCACGCTCTGCATAGAAAAAGGTGAAATCGATGGTCTAGATGCATTTCTGTTCCCTTGTCGGTGCTGGTATTTCAGTTTTTCTGCCATCCCCGTTGGATTCTGAATGCGTGAGGGCCCAGATTGGGCAACGGAGTGTACCTTCCCGCCCGCCTCCACAAGCTCAGTGCCTGGCGGCAGCTTCAGAAACCACACCAGCATTGTGGGTCCAGTTTGCACCTTGCAGCCATGTTTACTGCTTTCTTAAAAATCGTAGACTTTCCCTCCCTTTCCGTTTGGAAGGTCTGAACCCCTTTCCTACGGAATTCCAAGGCAGAACCGATTAACTAGCCTTTCGCTTTGCTTTTCAGCTGAACCTCCTGCTGTCAGTGTCTAAGTAACAGGCCAGTTGGGCCGAGTCACGCGGCCGCGGGGCACTGAGAAACTGTATGCGATTGTCCCCAAGAACCACACAGGCATGCTCCTCACTGCTGACTGCGTCATGAAGTACAAGCAAAGGGTTAAAAGATTGCTGCTTCCCTTTTAGAAACACCAAAATGCCAAAGATTAATCCATGAGCCGTGGCAACGTCCTCATTTAAATGGTCGCAAGACGTGAGTTTTTAAGAGGTAGCGATGGCGGGCACGCAGTGAGATGGTTCTTGCAAAGGATGTGCAATGAAAACAGGTGGCAGCATGTAGGGCAGGGAACTTGATGGAACTAGAGCCAATTAGAAAGTGTCTAAAGTCAGGCTTGCTAAGGTGTGAAACACGGCGATGCCTCCCACCGAGCATTCCACAGCGACTCTTCTTTTACTTCCAGAACTGTTATTTCTGCCCTCGATTTAGCATAACGCTTTTCCTGTCACCTTGAAGTTGAGTTTGGAGCAGATTGGATGCTTCTGAGAACACCTTCTGCCTTCCTGTGAACTCAGGGTGTCCTCTGCCCATGGACTTGGTGTGAGGCCGTTTCCGTGTATAGGTACCTTGCGGACGGTCGCAGGACCTGTACTCCCCGAATTGCTGAGGTACAGAATGTTCAAGAACAGGGAGTGGCTGCCGCCCCATAATACTGGGTTGTCAGAAAAGTCATGACGCATTTTTGCAACGAAAAACAGAAAAAATATGTCATGACTTTTCCGACAACCCAGTAGACACACGGTGTTTTTAGTGAACCGCCGTGGAACAGCCGTCAGTGTGAGTGGGAAGCGCAAGTGGGCCATGTACACCTGGCACGTGACAGGGAGGAGGAAGCCCCGTGAGGAGGGTGTCGCACGCACGCGGGGAGGATGACCAGCCTCCTGAGCTCAGGCCCTCGGGCCCAGTCCTTCTCTGAGAAGCCAGCGCGCTCACGGCCTCTGTGTTCGGTGACTGTGCCGAGTACCTGTGACAGCCGAGGAGGGTCAAGACTGCCTTCCCCCTAAAACCACCCCACTATGTCAGGGATCGTCACATGAATCAGGACGTCTGTGACTTTTCCTCCAAATACTGATTTCCTGATGGGATTGGTTTTGCCTCTGATGTTACAGTAAAAGTAGCCTGCTTTTTGGTTCCAAAGGAATTTTGAGTTATTCAAACACTAGTCTAGAGATGGAACACCGACGCGGGTCCTGGAATGTAGCAGCAGCAGCTGCCAATCGGCGTGCCGAGCAGCGTTTCCACCCCCTTCAAGCAGACCCCGCAGTGTGCAGAGGGGTTACTGCCGTATTCTCACGTCTGTCATTTTCGACAGGTCACTTGTTTCTCACCTCAGTTTGAATTGGTGATAGGTGTTGCTCGATCGAGCTTCATACTCTGTGTTTGGGGAAGACAGATGGTACAGAGGGTCCATAGTCGTTCTGTGACACGAAACGAATTACGAATATTGTATTTACTTCCACTTACTATTTAAGTACACGTTTAATGAAATAAACTGTAAAATACCCAGTTTTGTGTATTATATGTACATTTGGTTTTTTAAAAGCCTTTCCAAAGAAACGAGGGCATGGTTATTGTACATACTGTGACTGATTTATTTGATGTACAGAGCAGTGTGTTCTTAAGGATAAAAATATTTGACAACACTCGTTCTTGTGTTGAATCTTTTATTTCTGAAACAGACCTTGCACAGTGCTGAGTATGTGATAGTGATCCAACTCGTTTGCTAAATGAACATTTGTTTAAACCTGTACAGTTTCAAGTGTTTACTTATACAAAGAGTGTACATACTTTCAAATAATTTAAAATGCTTTATATTATTTGGCTAGAAATTGCTGTTTTTAATAAATGTGAATTTTTTAAAAAATAAAGATTTTTGCTTCCTACTTTGTCCTCACGTGTCTGTTATGTGTGCGGATTCTTTTTTAAAAGTCTTTTCTAATTGAAATGTGTATTGAACTAACTTGGACTCACTTACAGTTGTGAGAAATAATCCAGAGACACCCCGTATGCCTTTACTCAGTTTCCCCCAGTGGGGACCTCTTGCAAACCTGTAACACGTTACCACGAGGAGGATGTTGACACTGGTGCCAGCCTTACTCCGATTTCCCCAGTTTTACTTGTACTGTGTGGGTTCTTTTGGCAAGATAATTATTGTGGGAAGACATTTTTGAAGCATCTTACTGCTTCATTAGTTGAAAGAATTTCATTTTTTCTTTGTTTACAGAACCAGCAATTTCCTACGTACTGTCAGCACATAGTTGTGTTGAAATGTATTGGGTTGTTGGAAAAGTCATGACGCATTTTTGCAATGAAAAACAAAAAGTACGTCATGACTTTTCCGACAACCCAATAGTATTATTGAAGTAGCAATCAAAACAAATTTGTAGCTTTCTCCTGGTTTAACAAGCCCATATCTTTGAATTCTCTTCTGCTATTACCTTACAAGCAAGAAAGAATAGTCTTCGTTTGTCACCAGGGGCCATTCGTTGAAGCAACCCGGGGGCGAGCATGAGCGACCCTTACTTCTCAGAAAAGAGGAGCGTGACCGCGTCCTTTCTGGGGCATTCTTCTGGCGGTTCTTCCCCTAGCTTGGCCATCTTCCAAAAAGGAGGCCGCTGCTGGGAACCTGGAATGGTGGCATCCGTTAAATAGTTATCCGATAAGTACCTGTGTATATATATTTTTTATTTTTGGAAATAAAGGGTTTTTAAAACGTTTTTTTCTGATTATAAAAATGTTTGCTGCCAGACATTTCTGTAGTGTTTGAACCTTAATATAAAATGTGAAAGCCTTGCATAAATGAACTCTGAAAGGTAAACTGCTGTTAAATGTTTGGCATATGGCTTTTGGCTTTTTCTGTGTATATTCTAAAATAACTTTTCTTACAAGATTGGGTTCTGTAACACATTTATAACCAAGTGGGTTTTAATTATTAACCTACACACCCACACGCGTGAACAATTTGAAAGTAAGTTGCCTGCATCATTTTACCCTGAAATACTTGAGCATCCATCTCCAAGCACTAAGGACGTTCTCCGACATAACCTTAATATCAGTATCACACCTAAACCCTCAGTATTACCTAATATGCAGCCCATATATCAGTTTCCTCAGTTGTCCCCCCAAATGGGTCAGCTTTTTCTTACCCAGGTTCATACTGTTTACTTGGTTGTTGAATCTCTCTTGTCCCTTGTAATTTAGACAACTCTTAAGGTTTTTGTTTGCTTGTTTTCATGGCACTGAGTTTTTGTGGGTGTTTTTTTTTTAAGTGTAGGCTGGTTATAGAATGAACTACAGCCTGGCTGTGCCTGAGCTTCCGCACTAAATTCAGAATGCCTAACAATCGCAGAATACATTATCTTCAAGTACATGGAACATCTGTAGACTTGCGCTGGGCCATAAAACAAGAAACCCCAAGGGCTGGCCGAGTGGCTCAGTTGGTTAAGAGCTCGCTCAAGAGTTTGAGCTCTGAGCAACAGAGGTTCGATTCCCGGCCCGAGCTGAGCAGCCGCTGAGCTGCCAACAGGTGGCAGGATGGCTCAGCTAAAAAAAAAAGAAACCCCAACACGACCTACAGCAGAGGCTCTCAGCAAGGGGTGACCCCTGCCCCCACCATGGGACATTTGGCAATCTGAAGATATTTTTTGGTTGCTGTGACTGGTGTATGTGGGGCTGTTACTGGCTTCTAGTTGGTAGATGTCAACTAGAACCGCTAAGCATCAGACATTGTACAGGACAGCCCTCCACAACAAGCAATTACCCAGCACAAACCCTGCCACACCTGCTGTCCCCTCACCTGGCTTGCTTCATAGGACACATGAGATGTTTTGCTTCTTGTTTTTCTGTCTGCCCCCAACCCAGATTGGAAACTGCACGGGGGCGTGGCTTTGTTTTGTTTACTGCTGTATACCTAACACCCAGAACAGTGCGCACAGTAGGTGCTCAGTAAGTATTTGTTGAGTGAAAGAGAATCTACCCTGTTGCCGTAGGCTTCCCGACCCCACCCCGTCGCCCCCAAGCCCTGCCTTCTTCCTCCCCACACAGCTCTTTGCTTGCTCCCCTCTATTCCCGGTTCCTCGCCCCGGGTCAAGGCCTTCCTTTTCAGTAGCCTTGCTTGGAATATTGAAATGTCTTTACGACAAGAGCCCAGTCTTATTAACACCCTTCCTCCCCTTTGCTCCAGAACAGGAGTCAGCAAACTGCGGCTCGCGAGCCACATGCGGCTCTGGGTACATGTGGCTCTGAAGTAAAATTGAGAATGAAAATAAAACGATCATAGTTTCATATAAAATTTTAAAGGATATTATTTACATAGTGGTGATTTCATTTGTTTTATGGCTCTCGAATAATTTTTAAATTGTTGTGAGGGACAGGATTGGCTCTTCTGTCTCAAAAGTGTGTCGACCCCTGCTCCAGAATATAAAACTGAACTGCTGTGGCTCACGGGACTGTCCCCGTCAGGCGGCGGCATCTGTCCAGCCTCGTGTCCTCCTCATCCTGTGATCTCAGGGTCCTCGAAGACATCACTGTCTGACGTGGGCAGGAAAGGGCCTCGTTGGCAGGAAATGGGGGTTTGGGGGACAGACCCTGCTGGAGGAGCAGAGGGGCGAGAGCAGGACGCAGCACAGATGCATTTTTGCTTCAAAGCAGAAAGATTTGGTCCTGCCTCCACTGCTGTGGCCGTGTCCTGGACTGGCTGTCACTGCACCTGCTTTCATCTTGGCCAAGCGTGTGTGCGCGTGTGGTTCTCCACACTTCAAGGCAGTGCTAGAGCAAGGAGGAGCGCGAGCCGTGCAAGGGGGAGCATGAGCTGTGCTGGCCACCATTCACTGCCCCTCCAGACCCGCCCTTCTCTGCCCTGTGCCGAGCTGCTGGAGCTGAGCCTGACGGCGCGTCTGCGCTGCCAGCTGGTGCCCTGGTAGGTTTGGAGGGTGCTGGAGGCAGGGTGCTGTGTCTGTGTTTCCTTCTGCATTGCGGCTGTCAGCAGAGGGTGGCGGTCTGGTGGCTCCCGCTCTCCAGTGCGTTTTCCTGGCGTCCCAGCGGGAAGCTTCGGGGGACCAGCTCCTGCACCCTCGTGGCCACTCCGTGTGTGCCAGCTCCAGCTCCCTGGCCCCCGGTGAACTTCCCCACCAGCCGGGGGTCTGGTCACATCTGCCCAGCAACCCGTGTCTTAGCACTTTCCTGTTGTTAGATCCTTTGCTAGGTACTCTCCAAAGAGAGGAGAGAGAGAATGAGAGAGGGAG